CCACCGTATAATCATGCATGGAAGCAACATCAAATCACATATTTGAAAGCTTGAAACCACGAAAAGACAGCAAACTCGCGGCTAATGCGAGCCGACATACGCCGAATCGCGATTCCGGTCAAACAAGGTCTCAGAAAAGAGGTCACAGGTCAAAGGTCATTTGGGTGAGGGTCATAAAACTTGCAGGATAGGTGTAAAGTGATCAAAACGAGGGTACTGACAGTTTCGTCACGATCGGCGGCGCTTTTTACGCGAGTTATTCGCGAAAAACCTTAGGGAATGGTTACATCAACCCCTGTGAATGCGAGGGTTAAAATTCGTTGAAGAAGTTGAACTCCTTGCTCCATGATAAGTGCATAAGTGCCATACTACATGCATCGTTCATGCCTCGAGTCCACGTATAATGTTTGTGACGTGCTGTTCGTGCAAAAAAAAGCCAAGCCACCACATTTTGCATTGTCAAAACTACGCCATATACAGAACGGTCGTCATCCATCAAGAGACTGCATGTTTTCACAGGACGGTATCACCAAGAGCCAGACTGCATGTTTTCACAGGACGGTATCACCAGGAGACTGCATTGTGTACTTACAGGACGGTATAGCTAGGAGACTGCATTGTGAACAGAGAGGTAGCACTAAAAGACTGCAACGTGTATAGGACGGTAGCACCAAGAGACTGCATTGTAAATAGAGTGGTATCACCAGGAGACTGCAATGTGCACAGGATGGTAACACCAGAAGACTGTAATGTGTAAAACGGTACCACCAGGAGACTGCAGTGCATATAGGACGGTATCACCAGGAGACTGCAGCGTGTGCAGGACGGTATCACCAGGAGACTGCAACCTATGCAGGACGGTAGCACCATAGGCTGCATTGTGTACAGGATGGTATCATCAAGAGACTGCAATGAGTACATAACGGTATCACCAGGAGACTTGTGTGCACATAATGCCTAATGGTATCACCAGGAGACCACATACAGAAATATCAACAGGAGACTGCAGTGCATATAGGACGGTATCACCAAGAGACTGCAATGTGCACAGGACGGTAACACCAGGAGACTGCATTGTGTACAGGACAGAATAACTAGGAGACTGCAACGTACACAGAAAGATATCACCAGGAGGCTGCATTGGTGAAGGACGGTATCACCAGAAGACTGCATTTGTGTACAGGGCGGCAGCACCAGGATATAACATGTACAGGACAGGGCTACATTATGCATGTGAGGGATTGACACATTTTTTTAGTTTTTAAACAGTAGTTGCGATTGAGCGTAAGCAAGCACTGAAGCTTTAGTATTTTTCTATTCACATCGACCAGGGCATTACCCACCCCAGTGCTAGCACGGCAGAGACACCTGGTGAGGAAGCTGAGAACTGGTAGGTCTCGTGCTTACCGCGAACGCTTGTGAGCAGCAATGAATCAGATGTGCACGGCACATAGGTAAGCACATGAAACACATTCCTGAGAATTCAAAACTTTCTCGTCGAGATTAATCCGTCATCAGGTTTGAATGGATCTCAAATACTACGTTGATTTTTTAATCAATGTCTATTTAATTAGATTTTTAGAAAAAGGTTAAAATTTAAATGTTTCTTATCACAAAAATAAAAGCAAAATGACTGACCCCAGGAATACCTACTGAGCCTGAGTAAAATTAACTCTGTAAATACTTCACGATCATTGTACAGTATCTCTGTTAAGCGCTCGTGCGAAGAGCACATAGTAATTAACGTTAATTTATTTAATTATCTTATACGCATTTATATTTAGGTACCAAGTGAGGTTCAAAAACTAAAACGTGCATTTATATTTCGTCCACAGGCCGCCCTCATCAAACGGGCTGTGTGGGATTGTTTCTTTTTGTGGTGGCAGCCTGTCACCTGCAAGGGGTCAGCCTGTCACTTACAGAGGGCCAACCTGTCATATTCAGAGGATCACCTGTCATCTGCAGCGGGTCAGCCAGTTAAGTTAGTTATCTACAGCATGACAATCTGTGACTGACGTGTACACGGGGTGGCAGCCGTCATTTGCAGAGGGACGTCCTGTCCGCCTAACAGAGGGTCGCCGCAGCACCGGTGCGTCCCGTCGCGGACGACGTGCGGAAATCCCGCGGGGGAGAGGTCAGGGTCGGACCACAGAGGGGCCACGGAGGCGGCACGCTCAGTAGGAGATTCCCGCTGTACAGGCGTCACAGGTCATCCAACCCGGCATTTTCGCTTGGAACATCGACAGTGCGCGATATAAGTAACAAGAGAAAGGCGAGCTTTTGCTAAGAGTTTTCTTTCACGTTGAAAACGTTTCTAAACCGAGACTTTACCAGAGGTGGAATCCCATTTAATCCCAAAACATTATTTAGGTACGACTACCATAATCATTGAGCAGTAATCGCCACTCATTTTGTATGTGGATCGCTCTTAAATGTAAATAAAATAAAATGCAATACAATTGATAAGGTCGCCATCACTGGTATTGGGTAATTTCTTATGATAGAGGGGCATGCTAGAGCAGTGAAAACGCATTTGATGTGTTTGTCTCAATACAGGTCGACTGATATGATTGATATGAAAGGAGAATGATGCCAAGGGGAAAATGATGACCGTAAATAAAATGCACAAAAGGAACAATCAACTTTTGAGGATATCTACTATCTAGTGATTTGAAGTAGGTAGCCATCCCACCTTAACCCTCAAATGTGTGCGTTAACCCTTAATGTGTGCGGCGTTTGCCAGCTTCTAATGTGTAGGGGGGGGGGGGTCGGTTGGACCCCCCCTTGCCGTTTGGCCCCTGATCGAGCTAGAGCTTCGCGGAAAAACGAGCGTGTTGCCCGTGACGAGAGGAAGCCGATGATACCCAATTTTAAGGTCCTAGGTCATTGGTTGACCTTCCAGGTCAGATCAATGACCCAAAGTCGGGAAAATCGGGACCTATTAGAAAGTCGTAAAGTGTGGCTGCTAAGGGGTTTTTCGGGGTGCTGATCACGAATATCGTGTTAGTTTTGATCACAGATGATGTCTTTAAGCATTTAGACCAGGTCGGGTCAGGTCAGGTCAGGTCAACCAGTAGGCGTCGTGACGGGTATTCGTAGTACGTGTCAACCGCCTCTGACAGCTTCGTAACATGTTACGAAGGCACCAAAACTACTTCGTAAATGTTCAAATGGTTGCTAAATTCGAATTCAGCTCCAAAAACTAGCCTAGAAACATGTAAAACTCGAAAAAGTGAACCGAGGTCACCCGAGGTCACCAAAGGTCAATGACCTGACCTGACCTTCAGGTGACCTTGACACCCACCCTAATGCATGGGAGCAACATCAAATCACATGTTTGAACGTTTGAAACCACGAAAAGCTTGCAAACGCGCGGCTAATGCGAGCCGACATACGCCGAATCGCGATTCCGGCCAAACATGGTCTCGGAAAAGAGGTCACAGGTCAAAGGTCATTTGGGTCAGGGTCATGAAATTTTCAGGGTAGGTGTAAAATTGATCAATGCGAGGGTACTGAAAGTTTCGTCGCGATCGGCCGCTTTTTACGCGAGTTATTCGCGAAAAACCATGGGGGGTCCATCCGACCCCCCCCCTACACGTGCGAGGGTTAACATTAGTTTTGAGTAGAGATAGCCAACTTGGGGTCCCTGGCTTCCATTTACCGGTTTGGGCACTCACAACATCGAGAATCGCTTTAATTCGGATATATATATAATATTAGATATTATATATATATATATTTCAAACTTCAGATTTCGGATTCTACGGGCTAATGCATTTGAATGCCTCCTTAGAATTTGTGACTCAGCGCGATCTAACGATTTTTTCACCTATCTAAAGCCATCGGTAAAACGTGGTGGCATATACTGCTTTGCACCAACGTCTGCGCGCTTTTAGCATGCCAAATTATTGCTTCCAAATGAACTTACAGTGGAGGTCCCAAAAGTAAACAAAGTAAAGTCCAATATCTTGAAACCAGTGAATATTTATCGGTGAATTTGGGAAATATAGCTTTTTGATCTTTCTGAATCACGGGCCATCACTTTTATGCCAGTTCGTTAACTTTTAGGAATTATTTTCTTATCGATTTGACGACCTTTCAAACGCCGATTACGGTTTATTGTTTATCAATATCAGAATTCAGAATTCAGAATTCAGATTTATTCAAAAGAAGTCCACTCACCATGGCTTTTCACTCTTTCACGTCAGTTACAAGTACAAAAAGTACAATATGTGGGTTAGCAGCCGAGAGCTACACGGGGAATGTTCAAACATCCCTCTCAGCAGGACACGGAAGTCCACTGCGGGGCACATGTTTGTTTGTGGCGATCTCGTAGCAATTCACATGAGCATTTTTGAAGTGAGTTGGGTACTACTCCTTAGTCTTCATCAATGCGGTTACAAGATAGCATGAAATGATCATGCCTACGTTAATGCAGAAATGGTTTGGAAGCACGTTAGATTTGATAGCCTCCAACCGTTCGGTACTGAACAAAAATGATGCATGAAAACGACCCACAAATATGACGTGTCACGAAACAGGTCAAGGGGTACTTTTGGGGCGCTATATAGAGTGCACCGACACCTGTTTAAGACCATCCTCGGGGGTGATACCTCCAGCCCCGGGCCAGTCGCCCCGGGTGGCCGGGAGTCGGGACTCGGGACGAGTTCCGTGTCGGAAGGCCGGCTCGGGCCACGCTGAGCCAGCTGAAGCGGCCGCCGGCCTCGTTCAAGGGCAGCGGCGGCGGCGGCAGCGGCGGCGCGTCCTCTGCCAGCGCAGCAGCTCACCGGCCCAGCGGCGGCCAGTGACGTCACCCGCGCCGCGGAACTGGAATTACCCGGGGAGCCGAGCCGGGCCGCCGTCCGGAGAGGGACGGTAGGCAGTCGCCGCCAGTCGAGGTCTGAGGGGCGGGGAGGCAGCTGGCGCGAGCTGAGAGAGCCGGGAGAGAGTGAGAGGCGAGCAGAGTGCAGAGAGCTGCTGGAGGAGAGCAGCACCGGATCCCGTCAGGATGAGAGCAGGTGAGCCGCGCAGGAGTGGACTGGGAAGGTAGCGGCGGAACACCTTCAATTAAGGATGGAGGGGGCACTGCCGACTTTTGGTCCCATTCTTTCCATGCAACACCCATAGGACTAATGTTAAAATGCAAAAATTAAAGGGGCGCGGTGCCCCGGTGCCCTCCCCGTTCTGCCGTCTATGACTGGGGAGGGGTGGGCTCGGGAGGTCGCTAGGGGTTTGACGGGGATGTGTTTACATAATAACGTTTTACATGTTCGTTTTCATGAAGAAGCTGGTTTACAGTGTTCTACTGCAGCCAAGTATCAGACCTTTTAAGGTTTGCAAAAAAATGTACCGTGTCAAAGCCTGCCTAAATTGTATGTTTGAAGCAATACAACTTTGATAAAAAAAAACGATCTAACAATAAGTTCAATAAACGCAGCCCAGTGAGCCCAATTGAATCGTTTTCATCCGTAAGAACCATTATGTGGTAGGCATTACCGAACGATTGGACTCACTCCATTTAGCTTTCCTTACTGGTTTTGGCTCTGAAGCAACCCATCTAAGCTTAATTGCTTAGGCAATTGAGCATAGGCTTTGTGCACACAGGCACCCCCAGACGTAATACTAGGCGTTAGATAGGTGTCGAAGTGACGTAGCGGTCAGACATAACTTACATCGCTTATAGAGGACCCACAGATAAAGGTTTGTGTTTGGCTGGAAGTAAAAAGCACGACGTTGAAGATTAAATGAAACTGTTATCGACCTTGCATTTTAGGCTAACGGTGCTGTATGGATAAGCCAAGGAAACAACGCCCTCATCAATAAATAAGCCTGGAGTGCCCTACATCGGAAAAAATGGCTCCTTTATTAAGCCATCCCATGGTTCCAACATGGACGCTTAAGTGATGAAATGTGTCAAAGGCCCAAGCAAGCATACGGATAGTCCGTACGTGCAAAGCACTTCAGTCACAGAAAGATAAAAGGAACTGCATCGATTCAAAAATCCAGACGATGCAATGGTTTTCCGTGCGAGAAGTAAGCTATGGATGCACGTTAACCATGTTGCACTTAGCCTAAGACATAGAGTAGCTCAAATAGCTCAGAAAGGAGCTAGGGATGAAGGATAAAGACAAACTATGCATAACTTAGCTTAGTTATCACTTAGCGATACCAGTTAGAGTATCACTTAGCGATACCGGGGTCCCCTAGCGTTCCATTGAACACGGGCGATGCATCAGGCCAGCTTACCAGGTATATAGGCGGGTCAGGCTCCCCTCGGTTAGGTCATGCATATAAGCGCCTTTAGGTATTGAAAACTGTGTCACCGCTTGGCCCCTTCTGAACCCTGACTATGAAGAATGTAATTTCTGAAGGGAATGTTATATGTATTTTAAAAAGCTTTCATGCATTTCGTTGTGATATTAATTTGGAATGTATATCGCTTTGAATGTTGTGTACATGTTTCAATCAATGTACGTTGACAAGGACATAACCCATTGATAAACAGAGTTAAACAAAGTGAACGGATAAATATGGCACATGTCAAATAAGTCAGGTTTACACTACTCACGAAGATGTGTTGCCTAAGCTCCCATAATGGAAAAGTAAATAAGTAACGCTAGAATAAGTACCTATTTTTCACATGATTTATGTCTAAGGCATGTCACGGTCGATTCGGCGAAGGCTTGTTATGAAGTGGCGGCTGACCTTGAATAAGAAGATAAGAAATTAGACAGCCCCCAGCTTAGATTGGATTATAGCCTTGCGGCTCAAGGAACCGGCTGTTGGCTCGACTGCAGTGTAATGTGAGGGCTGTGCTGTGCACAGCTGGCCTGAGCTGTGCATTAAGCACTCGGCGAGTTATCTGCAGTAAAAAGGCTCCACGGTAGCCGGGACAAACCGAGTTGGAACTTCTCCATGCCAATGTAAATTTGTTGTAAATCCTTTTATGTCTGCTCCCGTTGGAACGTTTGAAAACAGATGCTGTCGTTTGATGGCTTCATGAGCGGAAAAAAATTGGGTGCGGGAAATTTGGCTACCATGCATAGTTATTTTTGGGTTCAATAATATCCTGACCTGATAATTCAGAAGGCTACGAGGGCTTCAGAGGGCGTATTACTGATTTAATATCTTATGAATGATAACACGCTATATTGCGTGTCATTTCGACCATCGTACTGGCGAAAATATAACTTCTCGTAAAAACGATCGCACTAGAGATATAGGTAACGGACAGTGACTGATGTTACGTTTCGAGAAACCCATGCCATAATTTATATGCATAGAAATTACGCCTTGGATATTCCGATATGCACGTCTACTGAAAAAGGACATCAGATAAAGACAATATGATGCATCGGGAACTATTGTGAATGTTTCTACTGTACTTTCAGGCAAATGGCTTACAGATTGAATTTCAAGTCTCATTGAATAGCGAATGAAAGCATGGCAATGCTTAGCTCTGTGTGATGCTGTGCTCTCGCCCGATTTCCCCTTGCTCGTTAACGCAAATTACAAAGTCGTTTAGAATTAACTGTCAAAGTCCTTGTTGATAAGTGGCCCTTTGCATACGCCGGCGCCATTAACTTCAAACGTTTTACCCGGTGTGTCGGACGCGACTGGAGACCGGCGGTGGCCGATCTGGGAATTCCGAGGGCACCGCGGTCTCCGCGGCATATCCAAACAGACCTTAAGCACTCAGTGGACTCGGCGGCCGCACCCAGATAATAGTCGGCGGCATCGAGCGAGCTGACAGATTCTCCGCAAGGCTTTTTCCATATTATGCTGATTGTGTGTAACCGGTGCGACCACCGAAGTACCGTTCGGCCGTCGAACCATTCAAAGTGCACGGTCGGACCTTCCGTATGTACCATGCAAGACTTACGGGCAGGTGGCCATGGCCTGATTGTCGGCTATTGAGATGGTGCTGCTGAGTTCCGCTGTCATCCGCTATGTCTGATGATAATGTGATTGGAACTCAGGTCCGGAGCTGGAATAACGTTCTTTGGCTCTGTCATTCGTGACATATGTGGCAATTCTTTATACGGACTGTGCAATGTATAAACAGTGGGTGGTATAAAGAGAAAACGTCAGTATTCATGCACCATTACATAGGCCTCGTAGATGTTCTGGTTATTCACTTGTGGTTATCGACTCATCTGTGACCATCTGTGTTGCGGCAAAACAGTACCCTGCACCGTCTCCCCATTTCTCCATAGTCTCCCCACTCTCTCCTGGTCTTCGAGTGACGCTCGATATCCTATGTTGACAGGTGCGTTATTGGCTGTAGCTGCGGCTGCCGGCCTTCTGTCCATGGCAGCGACAGCGGCGTCAAGACCTCGCCGGCAGCTGGCCGCCCAGCCGCGACCCCCCTCCGCCGTCGACGAGGCTCCGCCCTTCTCCATCACACAGTCGATCCTACGCTTCACGTCGGCACTCGGTGACCGGATCGGCGGCGGCAACGTGGTCATCTCGCCCTTCTCAATCGTCAGCGTGCTGAACCTGCTGCTGCTGGGAGCCGCTGACAACACGTACGAGCAGCTGCGACAGGTGCTGCAGTACCCGTTCGAGTGGATGGACCTGCTGATTCACCAGCAGAGCGGCATTCAGCTTCAGTCGCTGCGCCGAGAGACCCGCGGTGTCAACGTCCAAATCGCCAACCGGATCTTCACCGACTCGGCGTTCGCGATTGACAGGGAGTTCGCGCGACAGGCGCGTGACTTCTACCAGGCAAGTGGAGCAGCTCCAGTTTGGTAAGCACCCAGCGGCGGCGGCACGACGGATCAATCTGTGGTACGTGACCACACCAACGGACAGATCGAAAAGATCTTCGACAGCCCCCGCCGCGGAACACACGCATGATCGGCGCGAACGTGGTGTACTTCAACAGCTCGTGGCAGACGCCGTTCGACCCCGCCGACACCAAGCCGCTGACGTTCACGCTGGAGCGCGCAGCCAGGTGTGCGTGCCGATGATGTTCGCCGAGCTGACGGTGCCGTTCGTCAGCTACTCGCGCGAGGGTTTTGCGGCCGTGGCGCTGCCGTACGCCGGTGCCGAGTACGCCATGGTGGTGCTGGTGCCTGACGGCCGGAGAGCAGCCCCTGCGGAAGCTGGAGCAGCAGCTGGCCGGCGGCCGGCTGCAGCGCGTCTTTGACGACATGCGGCCCAGCCAACCTCTCCGTGTGGCTGCCGCGGTTCAAGATGCAGTTTTCGCTGGCGCTGCGGGACATCCTGCAGGAGATGGGTGCCACGGACCTGTTCCAGGAGTCGCGCGCCTCGCTCGGTCGGCTCTCCTCGGACCGGCAGCTGTTCCTGAGCGAGGTGCTGCACCAGGCCGTCATCGCGTGCACGAGGCCGGTACGGAGCGTCGGCGGTGACCACCACGCTGGTCAACCGCGACCGGCTGGCCACCACCTTCCGCGCCAACCGACCCTTCCTCTTCGTCATCCGCGACAACAAGACGGGCGTGCCGCTCTTCTACGGACGCATGCTGCGCCGAGGAGGGTGTGCCTCGACCGGCCGCGCGGACAGACCTGCAACGGAAGGAACCGTCGCAGGCCGGGGGCCACCAGGTTCTGAACGGCTTGACCCAGAGACAGATATGGAACGAGAACTGGCCGGTGGCAGCCGGGCGGGGCTACTACCTCTGCGGGTGATGACATCGCATAGTGCGGCGCACATCCCCGCGGGACGACGACGACCCACTGCCCCGATAGAAGATCTGTCTGGCCCAAGGTGACAATCTTTTGGTGACGTCCGCCGGCTGTCACAGACTAGACAGACACATTGTCGGTGTTTCGTGCCGCATAATGTGCCGCGAGGGAGTTGTTTTTAGCTCGTGCCCTCCCGTCAATTTAAAACTTTTATATCTGTTTCCCCACTTAAATGGCAATCCAATCGGGCCGTTAAACTTCGATGGGTGTAGTAAAGAAGACAGGAATTAGCGCAAAATGTGAGAAGGAGCAAGACATCACGAAATGGATAGCGAAAATGAAGCGTTTAGACACACAGGATGTTAGAGAGCCAGAGTCATTCTTCTCTGCTGAAACCTGCCGACGTGTGCTGCGACCTAAACGCTCGTGATAACACTAATGATGCCTGGCATGGCGCTGTGTGCCGGTCTTACCCGTGTTGAATGGCAGCCCGTACCACGTGGTGCAGACATATTGCGCGGAAGTGCCGTTTTAATATCGCTATTCGGGTGGAATGGATGCATCGTGTTTCGGAGTGCTATTTCCATGTTACATCTCAGGTGAGTACAATGTTTTTCATAGAGCAATACATGTCTGCCCTGAACAGGTGTGTGTTTGGAGAGGTGTAAGACGATGGAGGTGTGGTGTCTACTCGATCGGGATGTCACTGACCGACAGACGCAGCCAGCGCGGCGGCTGGAATCGTATGACTTACCAAACACTGATTGTGTGGTACATCTTTGTAAGAATGCATATCCCACTGACAAAAACATCCTCGCCGTAACTTCCACAGCTTAGACGAATCGATCAAGGCTCATTTAATGATTTTAATTAAATCATAATGTTAGTTACCGAGACTGACCTTTATGACTACTGCAACGTTTAAATGTGACATGGTCCGTTCAGCCGCTTACCGGATTTGGATCTCATCCGGTGCACGCAGTCAAGTTAATTGGCTCAGAGTCCGATTAATTATCTTTCCACGCGAGAAATATTTACCCTCTTGGGACAATTTAATCCTGATCATCTGATTTATCGTGGATGTAAGACTCCATATAATCCAGACCCTTTTAATCCCTCTGTCTGGACAGAGACCATGGTACTAATCAGACTCACGATTCCTTCAAAAAAAAAAATGTCGGTAACATGCAGCCGCTCGCATCCACTACCTATTAAGAGGAACGGAGCGTGGGAAAGTGCAAGCGTCCATCGAACACTTGATACTCATCGTTCATATTTTATTCATCTTGTCCAGCCATTACGTTTCCTCCATGGCAGCCTGATGCTCTGACTTCTTAAGCAAATCTGCTTGAGCTACGAACTCAGTGCATCATGCCAACTTTTATCATCGCCATCCTAAAATGGAGCCTACATTCACAATCCTAAACTCCTAAATCGCGGAAGCACATTTCGTCTTGAGCGGATGCCGGTCGGCCCGGCTTAACAAACGAGTGAGGCGGGCATTCGATCGTGAGCCGTCCTCCTGCTGTCGAGCCGATTGAAAAACTCGACCGTGCTGGGCGAAACTGTGAGTGTAAGCTGCGGAACCGACCGCGGTACGTCCATGAACGGATAATATCTGACTGATTCACATCTTACCCCACCGCGTCTGACGGTGTTTATAAGGAAATGTTTGTGTTATTGGAAATGAGTGCGCGAAGTACTTATGCATCGCTTTCATGGAATTCCCGTTTTGCTATTTCCTCTAGAAGCGGCAGTTACGGAAATTTCGGTAATCGTAAACCGAGCTCTTCCGCAAAAGTAAGCATGTGAGGTTGATGCTGGGTCATGACGTTAACATTCTTAATGATGGCAAAGGCTTTCGAGCAATATTGAAACAAAAATGGATGGATAGTGCCGGTGCATTTATCATTATCAACGCCTTTCGGCAGGGGATTAGCACGATTTTCATGAAGATAGGTCGAAGCTGATACGGAGCGCTGCCCAGGGGACGGTCGCGTGACCTGCAGATGGACTGACCTCGAGTGATCGACCTGGTTAGACATTGACCGGGCTGCCGGCGGCCCGGCCCTGCCCCCGATATACCGCCGTCGGCCGGGGCTGACGGACGATGCGGGCCCATTCCCGGCGGCTGTGCGGGCGAGCCGCGGAGCATATAGGGGTCGGAGGAGGGGCGGACGCTTCAGTGTGTCATCATGAGGACGCCGGAGCTGCTCGTGTCGCTGCTGGCTGCCGTCTCGGCACGGAGGGAACAGGGCGGTGTGCCGCTCAGTCACGACGTGCAGCGGAGACACAGCGGCGGCTTCGTGCCGATCCCGGGCTACCCCGGGCACCACCACGGCAATGGGTGAGTGATGCGTGCTTATTTAATGCATATCTACATCATATAAGGCCAAAGGTTCTCTCGAATTTCATGACGCACCGCAGGCTTCAGCTTCACGTTTCATTTAAAACGTGCTTGCGTCAAATGCCCTAATATATTTCATTGTATTGGTAGGTTATTATGTTCATACAAAGACGGTAGATGGAGTAGCGAAGCTTAATGAGGCCTATTCGCACAATGTTTCACAGACATTGCGACAAATGCATGTCGTTCATGCTTATTGATAACTAAGAAATTTGTTCTGAATAATATGTTGCATCTATGGAAATTACACGCTGAAGGCGACAGAATGTCACATTATCGAAAGGAATGAATCCGGATTCATAACCCTCGTGGTTGTATCACGTGCATGCATGTCCACCAAAAAGCCACAACGTTTCGACATATGTAACCACATGTCAACCGTACCTGGCCGTGAAATGTATAGCGACTGATACGGAGAAATGTTTACCATCGTCCTTCCGCGTGAGCCAGTTCCGTGATGTAACACTCCGTGACAGTCACGACTCACGCCCGCCCCGATCGGTGAATCAATCTCACGCTCCAACTAATCCGAATCTATTCTCCGAGCAATACAGGATGTCTTTGGCCATGTGCGACGAACATGACAAGGCAAACGTTCTCGACCTTCTCGTTTTACGTCGCTTCCAATGTCACATCGCGATACCCAATGTCGGATTCGGACGATGCCGGTGGTATTTGGAATTTGCTATGTGGTTGACGTGGCTTGTTATCGGTGTACGAACATGTAGTTTCACGCGAAAAAGGGAAACCGGGCACCTCACCAGTAGTCGATCTGATAAGCTCGCATGGTCACACAGTCACGAAACTCAGCAGTATGATTTATGAGGTTACCATAAGAAGCCTGAAACGGCGCGCTAAAACGCTCTGCCATCTATTGGTTTCGCTGTTATCTACTTCCTACAGTAAGAATGTTTCATATGCAATGAGTGTGATCAGAATGGGCCTGCTATACGCTAGCGGCTAGCGTTGTAACAGTGTATGTACTGCGGCACAGATGCTCTCGAGTGGTGTATTGCGGCACAGTATGCTCTCGAGTGGTGTAATGCGGCACAGCATGTGCGTGTAGTGAAAGCTATGATTTATGTGATCCATTTGGGCGGCGGAAGGCGATACGATAAAGATGCGATAGTGATAACGAAAGATAAATGTGGGGCCAAAAAGGTGCTGTTGGAGCCCGAAGCTGTGGAAAAGAGGGCACACCCTAAATTCAAGTTTATCGATTTATATATGCAACATTCTTGGATTTAAATTCCTCTTATTTCTTGCCGCATAGCTCAGAACGAATTTAAAAATATATATTTTATTGATGTGAGGAAACGGTGAAAGTGAGTGAATTTTGGAGGTTGGGGTCGTATATGAATTCCCTTGAATCCGCCAGTGTGTTTGCAATGCGTTGGTGGACTGCGTGTTGTAGCTTTAAAAATGCAAGTTTTACTTCGGGAAATGCTCCTTAGCCTAATGTTTGGTCATAGCCTTAAAATATCGTTACTGTTCCTATAGTTAGAGAATCCGTCTTTCAAGGATAACCTGTTTCTAAAAAGGGAAATACCGGTTCAATCTAACGAAAAAAGCCTTCGGACGGTATTTCGCATTAGTGCAGATATCTATCATTCCGCATCCCAATGTCCCTTCGTTCTATCAGTTATATAAATGTCATGCAATCATACCGTCGTTCTCGTTGGTTCCATCATCATGCATTTAACTACGACATCTCGATCATCATTTAACTCTTGGTTTAGGCTCATTACGCTAGTTTATCATATTTTTACCCACTACTTCATCGAAATTATCATTTCATCAAGCTCATCTTATTATCCCATCATCCCATCACCCGACCGTCCCGCCGTCCGGCCGTCCTAACTCCTAGCCGCCTAGCTGGACCCGGAAGAGGTCGTCGGTCGGCAGCGGCCGGTCGAGGTCAGCGGTGTGACAGCCCAGTACCGTCTGACACACGGCACGGCAACGTCCGTGACTTTGTCCAACGTCCAACGTCCACTTGCCACCGTCTGTCACATGCTGAGCGTTGTCCTCGGTCTATACTTTCAACTAACTATCCACCGTCCATCGACCAAAGTCAACGGTCCTCCGTCTACCGTTCACCGTCTACCCGTCAGCTAAGAACTGTCCGAAAGCTGCTAAGTGTTACCGTCTGCTGAGTGTTGTCGTGAGCCGTCTGCTGAACACTATTGCCGTCTGCTCAACAGCCTGCCGTCTGCTAAACGCCATTGCCTTCTACTGAACTCATCTGCCGTCTGATGAATGCTTTCTACCGCGTCTTCTAAACGCTAATGTCTGCTGAATACTACTGTCGTCTGCTGAACGCTGCTGCCGTCTTCTGAACGCTATACTGCCGGCTGCCAAACACAGCTGGCCTTGGGTCTGACAGTTGGATGCCTACCCAACCAGCTGGTGGGATGGCGGGTCGGCAGACGCTGCAGTTATCTCCCGCCGATAGACACGACTTCAGACGGTATACCCCGCCGGCCGACGGGTCGGCAGACGCTGCAGTTATCTCCCACCGATATAGACACGACTTCAGATGGTACACCCCGCCGCTGAACGGGCCCAAGTCGCCGGGAAACCGGCAGTCTCCGCGGGGGGACTGGAAAAGGCCGGTCCACCAGCCAGCGGCGGTCGAGGCCAGCGCAGATGACGGGCCTGCCTCGGCGCAATCCGATTAGAGCAGAGGCAGTAGCAAAGACTGACAGAAGAAAAGGCTTATATTTTGAGGATGACATTCGTTCGCATGGTGTTTCGATGACAGTTCAGAGTTGCATGCGACCTTTCAGTTAATAAAAAAAACGGTTGGAAAAACGGCAAACATTAATTCACCAGATGAATCTACAAGTTTCGAACTTCTGAAATATTATGTAACATAGGAGTGGCTTTACCAATGTGTTAGGTTAGTTTGGCCAGTCGTAGCCACTTCACGACACAGTCGTTGCCGGCTTTTTGATTATGATCGGCCAATGGGGCTTTGCGCAATAAGCAGTACCAGGTTCTGCCGCCAGATGTCTCACGAGTCGATTCAGACATGGCGCGCGGCGCGAGGGCCGCTTGCTGCGTTATTATTGCGGTGGAGATACGCGGATCTCCGAAAGTTTTTACAATTATTTACTGGTTTCCTTTAAAAAACGGTCGTCATTGTGGATTAAGACTACAAGATATGGTATATGATGCCGATGGACTGAAGAAATGGTCCGAGCTCACAAAGAAAGCGTGGGCTGATGTGTTTCTCCTATTGATACTGGCCTGCACTGTGAGCTACTGAAATGTTGGCCTGAGGAAAATTTCGACAACTTGCTTAAAAGCTTTAAAAGAGCCATCACTTATTTGTATGCCCTTTGAAGTTCCTCTGGCTCGTGAGGTAGAGTTAGAACGTTTAAACGGAGTATTCAACTTACTGCACTGAAAAAAGGAGGGACAAAATGACCGAGTAGGGTAAGGTGCCTAATTAGCGACCCTTTCCGATTTGCGACCTACCTCCCTACAGGAAAACTGGCATGAGAAAACGGGGTAAAAACATCGTCAAAAGGTCAGCCATACTTTGGTTATCAAATTTAATTATTTTCCGGTCGTCGATGTTTCTGGTGGGACGTTTCAGGTGAGTTTAAATAAAAATGACGAGTTTCTTATCCAAAACGTGTGTGTTTGGGCCCTCTCTGATGAAAAGCGATGCACATTAGGATGATGCACCTTTTTTTATTCTGAATCGACATTCCTTTTTTAATTGATTGCCGCTTTCCCATAGTGAATCGCTCAACTGTGCACAGCATGGCGTTAAAAAATGTGTCGCCATCACTCGAACTGGCCAATTTTGCATAAACCGTGGCTACGAGGGTGAAGCGAAGCGAGCGGAGCTCGCTTGTATTTCCTATTTGCGCCCGACATGGTGGCAAATAGCTCAAGAAGGGAAAGAAAGGGGAAAAGAGAGAAATGAAAATGAGGTGTTCCTGAAGCTTGCAATGTGTGGCGGGGGATGCCAAATGTCGTCACTGACTGCAGGGGTGCCGAATTCAGCGCGGACCTCGAATATCATACAAGATAGCCCGCAAAATTTGGGTTTCCGCCTTCTTTTCGCCTTCGGTGCATCACGCGATCAGTTTTTACTTACGTAAATGTGTTGGATAAACGTTCCTGTTCGAATGATTGAGTGCTTTGCGTATAGGTTACCTTTTTTTAGATCATATTTCATCTTTTCAGGCGTCGCATTTTTTTGCCATTTTTAATATGGGGAAACCCATAGACTTATTAGCGACCCTCCCCGGTCGCTAATCGGGAAGAGTTCCCTATTAGCGTTTTTTTTTGCAATGGTTTGCCGAAATGCTCACTACAAATAAGTTAGTGAATATTGGGGCAGAAAATGACTATATTTTAATAGAAAAATGAACGACCTCTCCGAAAATCAAGCCAGTAACACAGTGGCACCCACAGAGCGTGAGCAATGACGGTTCAAATTAAGGGGGTCGCTAATTAGGCATCTTACCCTACCCGTGCCGTCGATGAGCTTAAATGATCCGTCGAATGATTCTTTTTGACACGGAAAAGTTTCTTTTTTTTAATAATTTTTGACACAATGAAAGGCACAACTTTGCTTTTGCCAGCGACGTGTTACGCTCTACCGACTCTCTAGATCAATGGGATCGTGAGTTATTGACGAACAACTCTTGTGACCAAAGTGACGTTAAAAATTACGTACCTAACGAAAGGTCGACAATGCAAAAGTGAAGTATATGACCTTGCAAAGAGTGCATGAAATCACAATGCCATGTGATTGAAATAGTTTTAGATTATTCCCGGTACCAGACTAATAACAGTATCCATATTTTCCCATTAGCTTACCTATGAAGTAAGCTAATGGGGTCACGTGAGGTCATGTGCCCGACCTGACCTCATGCGACCTCTAGAAAACATTTGGCATGTGCAAATGTGAGACATCCGGAAAATAGTACGTCCTATAGGTTTCATTATTCTCCCTGTGAAAATTCCTCTGGAACTGAGGCGGTGCGAAGTTGCGACATCTGAGGACCATGCAGAGATTCACTTATGACGTCATAGTTCAGTCAACTGACCTAGCCTCGAAATGCGGTCGTTGTCACAAGATCCGCCTTGAATGAAAGGTCAGGGATGTCAAGTTTCAGTTCTCTATCGCCTGTTGTTTCCATCTATCGCAGGAAAACCTATGGGGAGGGAGCCGCACCCGCCCCTCTCGGCCGGAGAGGCACAAAATAAGCGTCTCAAAGCCTGAAAGCAAGGAAAATACCCCAAAACTTATCCAAAGCGCTATGATCTTAGCTCCGTCCGCCTGTAAATCACGCAAAACGCATCCAATGCGTCGGCCGCCATAGCCACTACCGAGGCCGGCGTGTCCGGTTCGCTCGTGCTGCCACCTGTCGGCCGGGCTACATTGAGATATCCCCATTATTCAAAATTTATGAATTTACTACGATGACGCACTATATTCCCGCCTGACCCACCTCTCTTGTGTACCCGCAGGTACCCGGGAGGAGGTAGCCAGGTACCGGTGTACCCGGGGCCCGTGTACCCCAACCCGCCGCCGTACCCGGGTCACCACGGCGGTCCGTACCCGCCGCCCGTACCGCACACATCGGTACACATCGAGCCGGAGAAGATCGTCCTCAACTGCGTGGTACAGGGGTACGCCTCCACGGTGAGTCGAGTGGGCTTCACGGACCTATCATGAAGTTAATTCCCGTGATCACTATTGACCAGCACGGGAGAATGCGGGATACTGCTCGAAGGAAATCGGTGCAATGTGGAAAGTACCATGAAACACCCCGCCTAGTGCCTAATGTTCCTAAGACGTTCCTTGTCTTATTTCCTTTTCTTCGTTCCACCGTCATCGAGCAATTAATGCCTCCTTTTATCGGCACGTGGCAGTTTAAGATAACAGGGTGATTGTTTTGTTCTGAAATCTGGTTATTTCTTACTATCTACCCAGCGCCTTTTTAGAAAACCAAACGAAACATTCAGACTGATTCGAGTAAACGTTTGAGCATTCGCATAGTAAAGTACATAACCAGTGGGTGGGAGTGACAACCATTTCACGCATTAAAAATGCATTGCCATTTAAGTTTTAACGGAACTACATAAATAAAGGGCACGTAAACGCCGTACATTCATAACTCGTAGATGTCCGGAATCACACACCAATATCACAATTAACAAATACATTTTTGTTCGGCACCAACCGGTGGACTAGCAAAATTAATTCGCGTCGGGGAGGAGGCAGCCTTGGGATATCAAAGAACCGTCCAGCGAGCCGCGAACGCCAGCAGTGCGAGTTGTGCGACTCAGGTGTACGGATGTGTTCCCCGCGGCCTGCATAACTAGCATTGCATTCTCCACGCTTCCCTCTCACTGCTCTCAGCGTGACACCGACCCGTATCAACAATTCCCAACCTACCCCATGGTTCGGCACACTGCTGTTTTCCTTCACCCCCAGTCGCACCCCATCGGCCGGTGGTGATGTCGTTCTCAGAAAGGATACCTATTGGATAGCTCACGACCCACAGGTGGGGACTCGATGGGTAGCTCTGTACTCAGCAAACTTTTATCACTCAGCAGCTAACAATTCAGGCCACATGGCCCACAGCCCGCATTCCTCTGTCCACACCACACAGTCCACAAACCAAAGTCTACACCACCTATCGCGTCTCTCCACCCAACACCGGCCCCGTCCCTACCGTGCCGGCGCGGTGGCTGGGCAGCCTCTCCGGTGACGACTGGGGAAAACCGGCGGATGCCCGCCCAAGGCTACACACCCAATGTCACAATTACCTGGCAGCCGGCAATTTGGCACCCTATTTGGAGTTCCTGAGCGGCGAATATGCCGCATCACGTCACGTCGGAAGGTCACCTTCACGCGAACAGTCGCGCCAGGTATTTGTGGCCGTACCCCCGGGCTCACACGGTGCGTAGAAGGAGAGAAACTACACGACCGAGTGCTCTCGCGTGCTCGGACTGTGTTTTCCTCCAGGGCATTGCGATACGTATTATGCAAGCCGTCTTTACATAACGCGACACTTCATGCGAAATTTATGGCGGGTTTTACCCCAGTGAAGGATGATATCCCACAGAAGTGTGAGAACTCTCCCGTCTCCAGTCTCCAGTCTCGAGCCTTCAAAGATCTGCCGATGAACGGACCAGACTCGGCGCCCCGAGCTGCTTTGAGCCCCCGCCTCACCCCCTCCCCCATTCTCAGTACGTGACCCCGTTCCGTACCCTCGCGGGGAGGGGAGGGGGCAGAGGCACTAGACCGCGACCACTCACTCACGGCGCGACTGTTGACGGCACACACACGATTGTTATCGTGCCTGCTTTGTTTCCGCACTGGATACATAAGGTCGCTGCGTGGCGCTGTCAACCTGGTTCAGTAGATTCAAATACGTTGAATTCGGCCCTCGATGAAGTCGTGAGCCACGGGCGAAGCGGAAAAATGTTCTCGGAAAGCCAGCAGAATCCAGGCTCAGGAAGCTATCCATGGTATCGTTCCCTATTCACTATGTTCACTATGTATCGCGCCGTTAATACCTATGTTCGTTTTCGACACTGTTTGACAAAGCTTTCCTGTGCCATTATTACGAAATGTTTCCAACACAAAAGCTGTCTTACCGGTTAACTATCAATGCTAATCACATTGTTTCCTTCTAATTACAGCTCCTCCCCCCTTGGTATGCGCCTGTCGGTCCCGTTCAGAGTCCGTCCCTGCCTCGCTCGCCGCCCGACCCCACTGACCGCCCCCTCCCACCCCTCTCCTCCGGCAGCCGATCCAGTGGCTGAAGCCGGACGGCCCTGGCCTGGTGGCGGAGGGCGGCGCCCCCGACCCCACTGACCGCCCCCTCCCTCCCCTCTCCTCCGGCAGCCGATCCAGTGGCTGAAGCCGGACGGGCCCGGCCTGGTGGCGGAGGGCGGCGCCCCCGACCCCACTGACCGCCCCCTACCTCCCCTCTCCTCCGGCAGCCGATCCAGTGGCTGAAGCCGGACGGGCCCGGCCTGGTGGCGGAGGGCGGCGCCGTTCTCTGGGACCGACGGCACATCCTCGTCGAGAGCGACGTGTTCGGCGGCGGCCGACGCTCGCGACTCGTGCTCTCCTACCCTCAGCCGCGACACCTGGGTGTGTACCAGTGCCAGGCCGGCAGCGCCGCCAGCAGGGCCTTCCGCGTCGGCGGGGACGAGTTCGGCAGCGGAGGTTTCCAGCCGGTGTTTCACGCTCGCAGCGGCGGCTCCGGTCAGATCCTGGCCGCGAGGGAGCCCGGCTCCGAGCCGGAGCCGGAACCGGAGGAGAGAGGGAAGAGCGAGCCGCTCACCGAGGCAGAGGAGCGGGAGAAACAGGAGATCATCGAGACCATCAAGCGTGAGATAGAGGATGTGGAGAACGCCGTGCGCAGCGCCCGGAGCCTCTGAGCGGCTGCTACACCGGCCGGCGGTGGTGAGGTCATGGACCTCTACCACCGTGACACTGCAAATAACGGGTATAAAGGCGTGCGCTTGGTAGCTGGAGCATTCGGTACTAGGGCATTTGTGTGTTTAGTGTCATGGGATGCAACAATTGTCAAATGCCTTGAAAGTGAATGCAGTATAACATATGTAAGGTGACAGATTACCATGGATAGTCCGTCTCTGGCTGCCCATTGCCCATCTCTTTACGTTGATCCGGACACTTTCCGGTGTCGGTCGGGAAAAGCGGTGATGTCAGGTAATCTCTCGTTCTCCCGGTAGAAGGGCATCGGTGTCGGGTATGATCTCACAGCCCACTGGTCGGCCAGGTGATATCGATCGTGTGGTTAGAGTCTGATGGGGTGAGGTGAAGGTCAGCACTTAGTGAGACGGATCCGATGAGACTGGGAATTGATTACCCATTACTGAGAGCGCACGCAACACAAGTTAATGCACATTGCCATATGCATATTGTATATTGGACATTGGCGCATTTATGTCAAATTTATTCATTGCTTTTGTTCCAATAAAAAAGCAAGCCAGTCGCCTTATCAAAGTTTTTCCCAATGTTGGGCAACTAATTAAAAAACCTAAGTTCTAGTGGCGTATTCCGCTTTCGTCTCACAAGCCGAATGGACACAATAAAATTGTTTGATATGTTTATTGTGTAAAAAACAACCGGCAAAGCCGAGAGTTGCTTCATTGCTGTTATATAACAATAAACGGCGCTAACCGCTATCAAATAACAATAACCATTGTTTGGATCTGCTGCATCGACGTGTGCCATATTGCGCAGTATACGATGGGATAACCGCTGCAGTAAATATTTTGGTCACGACTCAACCTTGACACACTGACTGTATCCAAAATGGCGTCGGAATTCTGCAGGCCAATCTCAATAGCTAATAGTTAAATCACATCATTGTACATAATTGACTGGACAAGGCGACTCCGTCTTATGAATCCGGTGTCGCATGCTGAGCTGATCTGACCTATCGCTACCCACTACACCCAAATATACAATTCAGCAATTGTATCACATAAGCTCTCGGCTGTCTCGCTAGCCCAACATTGCCGCCGTAAAGCATACTGCCCGACAACTGCCCGGGCCGCCCACATACGCCTTACCAATTTACCATTGCCCCTTGTCAGGACAGCGAGACCCCTACAATGACAGTCGGCCCGCCGGGCCGGCCCGCATGGTCCCTGACCACATGCAAATCTCTCCGTCCCACCTCCCTTGAATAAAACATTAGCACTGGTCGCAGCGGCGGAGCGGGGAGGGACGGGGGGGGGGAAGTATATGTCCCTCCGATGTGGGATACGGGCGGGCGGACCGACCCACTCTCCCTATCACTCGGAGCTGTCTCCCCTCCCTTCCCAGTCAGCACATCTCTCCTCCCCATCACTCCTCGCCAAGCAATCCCGGACCTACAGCTTAGCCCTGTAGCCATGCAGTGTCTCCACCAGATTCCTCAGTTTGAATGCCAGCCCCGTATCGCCCATGTACCGCATTTTCTGCTGGCGGTACGCCTGTTCGGGACTGAGCTCCCCGGCGAACAGACGGGTCAGGTCGGCGTCACTCAGCTCGAGGGTCAGGCCGGCGCGGCGCTGACTGTTAGCGTACACCCCCGGCTCGTCCGACTTGAGGTCGACCGTCCAGCGGGCGGCGTTCCGGCCCGGCGGCGGCGAGACGCGGAACTCGATAATGCCGCCGATCTGACGACAAAAGGGAGAAGGGTGAGGGCATGGGGAAGGGTGGGAATACGGGGTGAAATACACAAAAACCGGAGACGAAAAGTACATTAACGCACACCCTCCCGCTCAGGTAAAGCTGAGAGCGACGCTAGCCAGCCTGACTACCTTCATTTTAAGTCATGTTTGGAGCTTACCTTGTCAACAATGGCCTTCCCCTCCTGTTCAATCAGCTTCTGCAGCTTCTCGAAGTAGGGCGTCGACTTCAACCCGGCGCCGTCCTTGTGAGCGGTCACCACTCCGGAACTTTTCACACTGTGAACGAACAAATGACACGATGAAACATGAGCCCCGTACGACGGAGTCAATGTTAGACTTACGACATCCTCGCTAGGTACGATTTTTTTGCCGTCATTTCCACTAAAATCCTTCAAAACTCAAAACGCAGGTTTCAGCAACAACGCTGCCAGAAAAAACTACATGGGTATTGGGTAACGGCCCATGTTATAAAAAATACGATCTGCTAACACCACACCATCAGAAGCCGGCAACCACTCCCCTGGGGCAGCCTACTTACGGCTGTTCGGTCTCCATTTTGTAGAGGGCCACCACGGCCGCGCCGCCCAGCCCGATGTTATGCTGGAGACCGACCCGGGCGCCCGCCACCTGGCGCCTCTCTGCCTCACCACGCACCTGGCACGGGAAAGGAGAGGGTCAGAGACGGGTCAGGTCAAGGTAGAATTCGTATCAGAGATAAGGTCTGAATCCTGAGACCCAGGTCATCGCTGAGGTCAGGTCAAAAAAGGCCAGATGTCAGATTACAAGTCGGCAAGAGGGTCGAGCAACAGGCCAGATGTCAGAAACCATGTGAAAGGTTCAGGCAGAAATATATTAAACGTCAAACCTCAGGTTAGTCAAACAAATGTTAGGTTTGACCGAGCAATATTTCTCACAGATGGGCCTTGAAAACTGATAGCGTGACAATTACTGACACGAATCTAAGTTCAGGCCACACGATGACGACACAAGATCTATCTTGTGTCGTCATCCTGTGGCCTGTGATGCTTGACCTGGAATGACAGGTCACGTCAGGTCATTCAGAGGCTTTCCTGACACAGGGTTGAAGATCAGGTGAGATGTAAGAGGTTATTGCAACTGGTTTGTGGTCGTCTTGTGGGCGCATGAGCCGTACGCATCACGGACCGATTGCAGGGAAAATCTGGCAGGTCAGACCACCAGCTAATCATGGCTAATCGCATTCATTTACATGTTTTGTCAGCTTTCTTTTGAGCTGACGACGTTTCTCAACACCGCGACCTGCCTGCGGCTGCCTCTGTAACTCTCTTTCAACAACTACAATCGCCGAAACACGTATGGAATAACTACGTTGCAAACAGAGCAACAGTGTGTTACAGTCACAAACATATGTGTTTAGCGAAACGCAGACACTGGTCGTTCCAGCGTCGCTGAATTCGCGTTTTTATTTACCCCGTCGGCCAAGGTACGTGACTTGAGGTGAGCGACACCACCGGGCCCAAAACACACACATTGGTGACCTGAATAAGCCGTGCGTAAAACCCGCTGACGTCATTCAGTGTGTCCCACAGCGCCGTACGTGCCCGGCGCGCCTGCTGATCCCCCGGCGGCAGCCCCTCTTGGCAGCCCCTCACCTGCCAGCAGAGTTCGGCACACTGGGCCAGTCCAGTGGCGCCCAGAGGGTGGCCCTTGGAGATGAGCCCACCGCTGGGGTTCACCACGTACTTGCCGCCGTACGTGTTGTCGCCGTCGTCAATCATACGACCGGCGTGGCCCTCCGGACACAGGCCTGCAGGGAGAGAAATCATATTGACCTCACTTACGATAGAAGCAAGACATTATCTGTTTACGGAAAATATGAGGATGAAAAGGCGACAACATTAAATAAAAAGCTACAAGAAACCCTCCCGTCAGTAAATCTAAGTTAACTGAAAATGGAAATGAACGTTAAATGAAAATGAACCCCTAGCCATATGAAATGAAACCTAATTATGTGCAGACTACAAGTAGCACTTAATAACAGCCAGCAGCTAAAACCCTCCACAAAATCAACAATAACAACACCCAGATCCTACGCTCTGTTCTGCCATAGCTCATCCTGAGAGCCATACTCTTCCTTACCGAGCGCCTCGTAGGTGATGAGCTCGTTTGCCGAGAAGCAGTCGTGTAGCTCGACCACCTGCACGTCGGCCGGGGTCAGGCCGGCCTGGTCAAACAGACGCTGTGCCGCCAGACGGGTCATGTCGTACCCCACCTGTGGTGAAGGGAGGGGAGCGGTGTCACACATAAACGGTCATTAGATAGTAGATACCTACTAAAACTAGGGAGTAACTGATCAGTGCAGTAAGACAAACGTGAATACGTGTAAATAGAGAGAGCACGAAGAAAAAACGAGACATGATCAAACGCCGCATCATATCATATCTTTCATTGCACATTTGTTATGAATAAATATGGATCTTTGAACTACGACTACGACGAAGAACTACAAGTTCTTGAGTCGAAGCATTTCAGCTAGCGCTACAAACAAGTATCAAACAATCGGTGTACAGCGATTCTCACCATCTTCATGCAGCTCTTCTCGGAGAGTGAGCTTGGCGGGTCGGTGGTCATCTGCACGCCCAGCACGCGCACGGCGCGGGCGCGCGCCACCGCGCCGGCGCACCGCTCCAGAAAGTGGCGGGAGACGAGGATGGCCGCGGCACCGCCGTCAGAGGTCGGACAGCACTGCAGCTTGGTGAGCGGCGCGTGCACGGTGGGTGCTGACAAAATCTGCTCCAGACTGTACTCGTCGCGGAACTGAGAGTACGGATTGTCCACCGAGTGTTTGTGGTTCTTCCAGGCGATTTTGGCAAAGTGCTGTTCGGTGGTGCCGTATTTGGCCATGTGCTCTCGGCCGGCGTTGCCGAACATCTGGGCGGTGATGGGGCCGGCCTCCATGTCGGTGACTTCGCACATCATCTCCACGTGACGGTCCATCGGGTTGGTCCGGTCCGAAAACTGAAACAGAAACGGCGTTCGGGATTATCACAATACCACTCTGAGGACAAAATTAAAGACGCCAGGCACGCACAGTTTGCACACTGAGGTGAAATTAAAACTAATAAAAGGACAATCGTACCGGCTGTTGCGAGCCTGAAGAGTAAATCATTCAACACTGGACAAAATGGCATTACAGAATGGAATACCCCTACTTGGTGAGGCCACAACCGACAACAGTTTCCACAAACCTTCTAAGTTATACACTTCAATGAAATTACTCTCTAATCAGCATAATCTAATTTCAAATGAACACATGTGACTGCAAACCTACCTGCGAGCTGAGTGAGCCCCGCTGCATCTTCTCGAAGCCGAGCGCCAGCGCGCAGTGCGTCTGACCGCCGCGGATCGCCTGGAAGGCCAGGTAGAGCGCGCTGGAGCCGGTGGCGCAGTTGTTGTTGACGTTGATGATGGGGATGCCGGTCATACCGACCGGGTACAGGGCGCGCTGGCCGCACGTCGAGTCGCCTGTGGCGGAATTATATCGGTTACAGTCAAACACTAAGCATTTAAGCACACTACATAATAAAACATAACGATCTACGGTAAGCAGCTTACATCATTTGATTCTTGGTTCAAACCTATCGATGTCAAAAACAGAAACAGTAGAAAATCGAGGGACAGGCATTTTAAAAAAAGCAGATGTTTGTAGTGACACAATGAACTGCACTTATAGGCGTTCATGCTACACCCCATGGTATATTACCAAAGCAAACCCTTTATCCGTTGTGCTGTTATCTACACGCACCGTAGACGTAGCCGACGTAGGCCTGTTCGACGGCGGTGTACTCGACTCCGGCGTCAGTGAGCGCCTTCGTCACCGCCTCAGCGGCCATCTCCGGGTAGTCGAAATCGGCCCGCCGGCCCGGCTTCTCAAACTGTCGGGACATACGGACAGTCAGTGTCCTGGGAGAACATCGCGTGATGGAGAGACAGGCTGGTTGGAAATCGGGGTCAGAGATGGCTTATACTGACGGAAAATCAATAAGAGAAAGTTGACAATACATGCGATGATATTATGTCCTCAAATGTCAACTTAGCTCATGGGATGAGTTCGTCTTCGTTAGTTTATTATTAAAACTGTGACCATGACTGCATGATCTACAGAGGAAGCATGAGGTCAGATGTAAGTCCCAGCTCACGAATCAACACTAAACAGAAGTTAATCCAGTCTCACGACTTCATATTTTTCGTGTTGACGAGATGTGCCTGTCGTGCCAGAAGTCTGCTAGACTAGCGTCGACTTAACAATCAGCTGTCGTACACGAGATCAGATAACAGAGCTCAACTTCACCGACTAAGCGTCAATCAATATTTTTTTACGACTCGGTCTGAATCGTCTCCTCACCTTGGTCATTCCAACACCCAAGACGAACACATCGTTGCTGGCCTTGGTCTTGTCGGACATGGCGGCGGCAGAGGTGGTGGGACGGCGAGACGACGTCCGACTCTGTGGGACAGCCGCGGTCCCGTCAGTTCCACCACGGCGGTACCCACCAAACATATCCTGACCGGCACACCTCACACGTCACAGACACAGAGTGTCTCACTCCGCGACGGGTGACCGACTGTCCGACAGACAGGCACGCGGACAGACTGGGTAGGGTACAGGCTACAGACAGGCCCCCCGATCAGCGGCTGATCGTCTATCGGACGTGTCACCAAACACCGAGTCCCGGACAGCCCGCAGATTGCGGCTCAGATAACGCAGCAGCCGCGGCTGACAACCGAAATACGAGACCGAGGGTCGTATTGCTCGGAACACTTGGCGCCTGCCGCGGGTAATTGTGTTTAAAATAGCACGGCTCTGTCAATCTGTGAGTTATGACCATTCCTCGAAATAGATCACCTTCTTAAAAGTTGACGTAACTAGTAGAGGCAAGAGTTGAACTTCTCGAACCGGACCCGAACCCGTTTAATTATAATTTCGGAAGGTTTGGTAAGCGAGCCGGTCAGACCCGGCCCTAGCTGGGATTGGGACTTGGATTTCGCATAAAAGACGTGCTTCGGGGTTATTTGACGAGTAGGTGTAAAACAATTGCGTGCGAGCTACGAATGCCCGAATTTATTCGCCGAAACCAAACAAGTTATTCAATAAGAGTCGGATTTCTTACCTATCGACATTTACTAGACTGAAGTAAGAACACTGAATTGTAAAATCGAACCCATGACTCACCTTAAACCTGAGGTCATCTTAGGTCATTAATGGTCATTAGCAGTTTTTTTGCGATAGCTTCTGATTAGGGCATGCTAGAGCGATGAAAGCACATTGGATGAGTTCAACTCAATAAAACGAATCAAAGATACGCAACATGACCTTTTAAGGTACTTAGGTCATGACCTTATCTCTACGTCATTTTCCAAGCTGACATTAACAGTCAATGTAGGAATAGATAATTCATTCGCGTCACAAGAGAAATATGCTGCCGGTACAACCAATTATAATCAATGCCATACGGCATACAAGTTGTGTGTGGAATTATATTGTGAAAATGCATAACAGATTGCAGAAGCAAATTTTCCAGAAAAAACTTCATTCTGACCGTTTATACACACTAGAGACAACTACTTAGTTCGGGCTTTAGGCCAAACCATAACTTTGAATTTTGTCTTTCCCATGCCGCTTATGGTGTGTCACTTCAAGGCCTATGAACAGAGTTGGGGAGGATGAAAAGTAGTCCTGCCTCTCAATGTCTGCTGTGTTATGATCGCACCTGTACACAAGGGAACAAATCCCCAGTGCTGAACTGATTCATGTCCAAGACGCTGGCTCCAGGAAAAATGAAACTGGTCAGATGCACCAATGCCATCATTTATCATTTTGCTGTATCTAGCTGGGGAAGTGAGTATCCACCCCTTCCTACTGTTCAAAGCCCAGGTCTTTACCGTCATTCTGATTAGGTACCATCACGGTGACTATAAATAGGTACCATGAGCATTTATTAGGTTTTCCTAAAAAAAAATGGAATGCCTCAGTTTGAAGCCTGAAAGAATAAATGCCCTATTCACATTTATCATTTGCTAAAAAAATATGATCAGGAAGTTAACTAAAATAAAATATATCAGCAGCATATTCAGTCTACTCAGATACCTAGGTACTATATCTGTAAACTTTCACATGGCCTGCCACCTGTCATTCACCTGGTTCATCATGTCTGCTGTCTGGCAGTGTGAAGGGTATACAAACCACAAGGAAACTTGAGGATTATATAGGCAACTGGATCTGCAGAATTCTTGTGAAAAGTTTATTGAAATATACTATAAAACATAAACATTTAACAATTAAGCGGCTAACTGCATCAGCCTGCAGCCATCTTGCCAGATAAATGACAATACATTCGGCAATGCCCAGATTGATGCAGTTCAAGTTGTCATGGTCGACTTCAAAGAACTGCTCACTATACACCTTAATTTTTCCTGTTAGGAGCTTGTCTGTTTATCAAATCTTCAAAAATGTGTGAGAGAAACTTATGGGGAACAGAAATGTGCTGAAATATTGTTTTGTGCTTGTTTTAAGGTTCAGTTTAAATCAGGTAAACATAAAGCAATATCATGTTCTCTACCGACTCACAGATGCAATATTGCAATAATTATCACTAGGATGCGCTGAAGCAAATCAATTGCATTAAAATGGCATTTTCGTAGCACAATACGCGAAACTTACCTTGGACCTAAGGTCTCAGCCTAAGGACCTAAAACGCGAAAGCAATGAATCAAAATAAAGCCACAAGAAATCTCTTGCGTTACAAATGTCCTTGTTGCGCCATACATGAAACAGAAAGAAGTTTTGTTCTTTCAGGAGTTTTTGAGCTGTCAATCCAAAAGCTCCAAGCAAGCATTGCTGTTAGTTCTTCATTTTTTAGATAAAATTCATCATTCAGAAAGTATCAATAAAATAAAAACGCATTTCAATTATATTTTATGTTTTTTAGCCGAGTCACAAATGCTCTTTTGTGTATTTTGTCTGCATCACATACCATGAACCGCAGCGCTCATCAGTTCTGAACAGCATTTCGCATCGTCTTATGACAAATGCGCTAATGCCAAGGCTATATAAACCGCTAATGCTAAATGTAATGGGCCTTGGTAATGGGATGTAATGGGAATCATTTCAATGAGCATGGGATCGGCCACTTGGCATACTTGAGGGTTCTTTTATCCTGTCAGTAAAATCAAATGGTTGCATTTCATCTGAAATGATAGCAGTGATGTTTGTTGTGTAGTGGTTCATCAAAGCTAGGATTTTCTGACTGGAGCTACACTATGTCATTCTTCAAGAGAAAGTTCAAAAGTAAGTCATCTGATAAGCTCAAAGTAGGCTACCAAGCATGTAGATAAATCATGTCATAAATGATAAGATTGAACAGTTGATTCAGTGTTATTTTACACAACTTGATGCTGATACATTTAACTTATCTTGTGTAGTCAGTGGCAATGCTGGATGCGTTTGTCCTACCAAAAATGCCAGTTTCCATTCACAAATCCTAGCTGTAATATTTTTAGTGTCACCAAACTAGGCTTGATGCTTATTAATAAAGCTTTTGTTTTCTGGTTGGCAATACAATTTTTCTGACATGATTTAACTTTTTCCCACTTACAGTACGCCCCAGTGAAGGAAAATGCATGTTGAACATAGGTTTTGGTCTCTTGTGAACAACTTGTATGCTCCTGCTGATCAATGTTACATGTGACTGTATGGTTTAATATGTAACAGTTATTGTGATTTGTGTCTCTTTCCAGGTCACTCCAGGAACAGTTCAATATCCAGTTCATCATCCTGCCCAGTGGAGAAGTGTGTCACACCTCAGCCCAAGTCACCACTTGGCTCTCCTGACCCACAAGCAAGCTTTTTAGCAGCTATCAGGGAGGAAGAAAACAGGTGGTCTAATGTCACAGGTATTTAGATGCTCTCATTCTATAATTTTACCCCTCATATTTTCATATTTGCACCTGAACTCAACAATAATTCTGATCATTGCATTTTCCCAGACAATTAAGAGCTGTGACCTGTCATCTTAGATGCAGGCATATACTTTGTTTTTGCCCACTTGCAAGGATATTGGACTCATGTCTGATGGCTGGCAATGGCAATGGCAGAGCGACCACTGGCCATTTTTCAGCATATTATGCTTTTTACTAGGAATATATTTTTTTTGTTATCCAGTTAAATTAACTTAAAATGATTAAATGAATTTTTTTTTAAATTCATTAAAGATACCCTAAAAAGAGAACCACCAAGATTAGGCATTTCCTAAAGTTCTGGAAACATCACTGTCATTTTTGTATATTCCTGTTACCTATGATTGTGGATCCTCTCACAGATGCAGAGAAGGAACACCTGATCAGCCAGAGGTTGACCAAGACCCTGCGCTGTCTGGCCAATGACAAGTGCGCCCTGGGTTACCTGACGTCGTTCCTGGAGGGCCGACATGTGGCCGGATACCTGCACTTCTGGATGGAGGCCGAGGCCATCCGGCGGCGTTTGGACACTGAGACTACCACCCCCGGCAGCGAGCCGGAGCCGGCCGGACCGCGTAACGGCGAGCTGCCGGCCGCGGCGGCGCTCTCCCAGCTCCTGCAGCGGTACCTGGTCAGCGAGTCGGGCCCGCAGCTCCGAGTGCCGGCCGAGCTGCGCGCCGCCGCCGCCGCCGCCGCCGCCGCTGGCCCAGAGGGTGGTGCGGGGTCGGAGCTGGCTACCCGCGCCCAGGAGGCGGCCGCCGCGGCCCTCTCGGCCAGCCACGTGCCGGAGTTTCTGCAGAGCGACCACTACCAGTGTTACCAGGTGGACGTGCTCACCAGCAGCTCAGTGGAGATCTGTGATATCCTCTTCAACGAGACGGTCGTGTTCATGTTCATGGAGGTGAGACATTTAGATTTGTCTCTGCTATTATGATTTTCAACTTCTTTCACTTTGTGTATGTTTGAGTTGCGTTGTTTTCCGGTTATGTGTGCTGACGCGGGATGTTTATCGGCAGTTTATGGAGCAGGAGGGTTTGGCGCATTACATCGAGTTCTGGATGTCTTCCAACAACTTCCGGGACCAGCTGTACGCGCTGGATGGCCGTGGTGACCCCGAGCAGACGCAGGGCGACGCCATGATCCTCTACGAAAAGTGAGTCGCTTCCTCCACGAAGTGAGTCGATTCGCTCTGACTCCTGGGTGAGAAATACCACATGGCTCATCCATGCTTCGGCGATGATCATGTATGGAAACAAATGGAGGTTGAGGCTGCATCACTATGCATTGCTTGAAGAAATATGTTATTGGGTGTGTTGCTCGTTGATGTCATTGTGTGCAGTATTATCGACATGGGAATTTTCCTATAATCATGGGAATTTGCCCTTACTGCTGGAGCGAAATACGAGGAAAACATTCTTTGACTCGCTCATTTGCTGCCGATCGCCATTTCCTTGTGCCATTCTTGTGGCATAATGCGATGAATAGTATCTTGTCATCGATCCAGATACCTAGTCAAATAAACTTCCAGCATATCACTGTCACTTGTCCTAATGACGCAAGGCTAACGGCCAACGGGTCACGGTAACTTGACACCCACAATTAGATAGATTGTGTATCATCTCGTCCCATGATGTAGCCCATGTATCGTCGCTGTAGGTATATCCCCCTCTGTACGGCCAGTATCATCACTGCCCAACCTATCCCCAGTTCCTGACGCACGTTTTCATGAGCTATGTGTAACCAGCAGTGACGGAGTTACCCTCTCCCCAGGTACTTCTCTCTGCAAGCCGTCTGTCCGCTGGGGTTCGGTCAGGAGACGCGGACAGAGCTGGAGCTCAACATCTGCCGGGAGGGCGGGCCGCTGCCAGAGTGTTTCCTCCGACCCATGCTGGTGCTGCACAATGTCCTACAACAGGTCAGACTGCCGGTGATGGGACCGGTACGCGCTGAGCTGTGGAGCTCCATGAGGGGTGTCTCCAATCTATGATCGTGATAACTGCAGCTATCCATCGGGTTGAATTAGTAAAAGGTCGAGTTCGTTAGTTAATGTCGATCAGTTAAATAGATGCCTCTGCAAGTTTTAGGTTGCAAGTTATCTACCTGAGACATCAATATCGCTAATTGTTGGCTGACATTTCCATTAAAAAAGCGCTATCTAGCATGGAAAGGTCGCTTTCCTGCGCCCTCCCTCAGACCCCCCCCTTCCCCCTCCAGCCTTTCCCCAGTATCGACCTCCTCAGCCGGCAGCCTGCAATGATAACTCTAGAGACTGGCACTTACTGCTAAAGCTACATGTATCATGCAATCTGACAGCCCGTTTCGCTCTTACAGCGCTACCTGGCAGCATTCCTGAACTCGCAGGCGTTCTTCAAGTACGTCATGGGTTTAGTGAACACCATTCGACACCCTGCCAGACCGTTCTACGATAAGACAGGTCAGTCACGATTTTCAAGGGCATTCGTTTCCTCCTATATTCTGTCGTGTTACGCTATAGTTACGCTTTATACGGCGTTCATCGTGTTATGACTTCTGTGTTTAGAATTTATCCCACAGTATTGCCCCGGTATTGCACTGTCTGGGGTATCGAGTACGGTCGAATCGATATCTTGACCTTTCAAAGTTATGCATAATGTAGAAGTAGATTTGGCTGCGTATCACGAAGATGTGCCGATTTGCCGTCGTAACCCATATAAACGTTCGTTCCGGGATTGGTGCCATGATTGTTCTCTACCGTAAACTTGGTCTCCTTCCCCGAAAAAGACCTTTTAATGGCCGAACCTCAAACGTCAGACGAATGACCGCTGTATCTTCCTCCGTTTCCAGACGCGGTCAGCACGTGCAGCAGCGACCTGGCCTCCTCTGTGACGGGCGGCTCGGTGCCAGAGCGCTGGTCCCACCAGGACCCCGGACAGCTGCACCGGCGCCGCTACTATGGGTCAGTGCAGCTACCGGGAATTGGCAGCGCCACTGCACTGGGCGGGTGCGGACGGCGGTAGTGTTTATACAGACGCGTCATAGTGCAGGCTGCAGGGCTCAATTGGGTGATGCATGCCTTCTGGTGTGACGGTGACCTAGAGTTGGAATATTGTGTGCACTTTACTAGATTAATTGGATTCGGGAGTTATGGACCGGTCATGCATAATTCATAATCATAAGCATTCGCCGTGACAAAATCCGACTAAATGCGGAAGTCAAGGTACAGTTGTTACCACAATGCGCCACTGATACAATCTGTTCAGACCATATGCAAATTTCTTAACGTTTTACTTATTCCCTTGTTTGGCTCGTGCTCCGTGACCGGTGCCCTCTTCTAACTTTGTTCACTCGCTGTAACAGGCTGAGCATCGGCCACGTGAACCACGTGGGTCGCTACGAGTCTCATCTGGAACCGAAACCGGACGCTGGCCGGCCGTCGGCGCTCCGCAGGGCTGTCAAGTCACTGCTCAGGCACGACGAGAACAAGGTACGACATATGCAAGATTCGTATCGCGACATATGCGGAAGAGTTATCGCTGCCTAGTCTGTCCCTTATTTCTACTTTGAAAATAGCCGCTAAATATTTCATGAAAATAGTCACAAAATCTTATGGCATTCGGACTAATTGAACTGGCCGATAAAACGTGTCGCCTGGTTTCACTCCTTCTGCACTGAAAAAGGCGGGAAGGAATGAAAATGCTACGTATAGTAGTTGACTATCTTTCAAACTGATTCAATTTCAGACTACAGATGTCTTTTACAAGTTACGAGCTCATCCCTATATCCTTCTGCAGGTACAAGAGGAGATGGCGTGGAGGGTGGCCAACCTCATCGTCAAGGACGTCACCAGTGTGACGATGGGTCTGGGCGGCGGCAGTCCGACGCACCGACCGCCCTGGTGACCGGCCGCCCCCGCCGCCGCCGTCGCCCCCCTGTGATCTGACTGCCGAGCCGACTGCCCGGGCCTGGTCTCGACGACGGCCGACCTGCCGGTGAAGTTAGTGAGGTTCTGCCGTCACCGGGGTAGTGTTCTCACAAAGGTGTGTCCATCCGGCGCGGCCGATTTTGTTACGTTTGTTGTGTGAGTTTGCGCCTCCTGCACTGAGTTTAGCGGTTGGGTGAGCGCAGGTCCGCGGATAGATTTAGAAATCGTTATCGTTTCAGTGTGGTTCTGGAGCCACGATCAGCTTTGACGCGCCGGAATGGCTATAGGTATTCACCGACACAGAACGGTGGTTCGTAATGGGTGCTCCTCAGGACCCAGTAACAAATATTTACCGCAATTTGAGGGCGCTTGTTCACTGTTATCGATAATGTCTAGTTCAAAAGCTGGGCGTGACTGGACGTGAAGGCCAAAAGGGATGAGGGACGGAGCAATTGATCAGTATGTGGGGTGGGGTCTTGGTGAAGAGTAACGCCGCGAGGATATTGGTCAGAGCACGCGGTCGGCGCGCGTGAATAGAGTCGAGGGTTCGGATTCTTTGGAATCGGGACTCGAATCTCAATCCTGTGTCCTGTAATCTTACTGTGATACTGTTGATGTGTCGCAAACTTGTAACCTATTGTCTCCTGACGTTAGCGACTTCTTGTTCGACATTTTTATTGAATTCGACAGTTATTTAAGTCATAATAAGCCAGTCATGTCGGCCGGAACTCGATATCACTGTTCTGAAGTTTTGATCCACAATAACTGCAGTGAATTATGCAGTTCTATCAGTAGGCAGCTACTTTGACTGGGTTGCCTAACGCTGTCAGATCATCTGAGCTTTACAAGCCTGGCAGTGAAAGCAACGGTCCATGCCCGGCGCCCGCGCTCTGATGCCAGTTTTATTGACTAGACAATACCAATGGTGTGTCAATATCAGCTACTATAATTAATGAAAATTAAGATACGCGGCACGCAACCCGTTTTTCACTAAAAAAGAATGGTCTTGCTTCTTACATTAAGAATGTACGAAATGTTTAGCAAAGTTGTGTTGCATTCAGGCTAGCAACGTTTGTAGTTACATTCCAAATCCTGTCGAATTTCCTGCTTCAGTCTACAGAAAACTTTCCCCATTCAACTTTAAAGCATGTGGAGTGAAGGTCCGGGTCAGAATATGCCCTGTGCGGACAGCGGAGGCCAAGGTGTCTGATTTTGAAACAGGTCGGGTGGGGATGTCTCGCACGTCCGGCCCCCGGACTGGCGGCTCTTCCATAATGTAGTCGTATTTTTGTCAGAGGGATTTGAGTGTGCTTGGTATGTCGGTCGAGCACAACCATTTGTTATGCCGTGTCATCTGTTATGAGATGAGATTATAGCTAGTTTTAATATACACACACATATCGACTACGTCTGGTGTTTAATATAGGAACGGAGCCAATAGCATGTCAGTGGCTGCAATGTCGAGGACTAAGTAGTCAATATTCTTGCTGTGTGGGTGATTGATATACAATGGTAAGTTTTTATCACGGACAAGTCTTAAATGAAAGAGACGTATTTGCCATTTGGAACCAAGCGTTCGATCGAAAATGTTTTCAAGCTCTCCCCTCATACTCTCTACCCTCTCATACTGCGAAGATTCGTAATCCGTCAGCGTAATATCATTTCGACTGATGCACAGTTGTAGCAGTGGCATTGCGGCTGTATTCCTATTACAGCAAACTCAAGCTCCTATTATGAGCTTTTGAATAATTCGGGTTCAGAAGCCACCATTACCGAAACATCTCGCTGTTGGGTATTGAAAGTGATAACCGTTTCAGCTAGTTTGTAATTTGATCGTTTCTTAGTAGGGAGTAGAGTTACAAAGTCATGCACTGTATTTGTTCCAACTACGATATGAAATATGCATAATAATAATATGTTGATGGATGTGAACATTTTCAATGCAGGGCCCTGGAAATGCTTCACAAGGATCGAACCCGTACCGCCAAGTACTATGCCTCACTCACCTACCTTGACGTGACACACGAGAATGGCCGACTTTGAAAACACTAAGCGAATCATTAAAACCCAATCACAAAACCGACGCACTCCGTCAGTCACGAGGACATCCACCCACCCACCACGGGCCGCGGATTCTCATACCTTACGACGCCACCGATCCAGCCACAGCAGTTGTGACGTCGCTGGAGCGCCCGCGGCCGCCGCGACGGAGCCACTCAAAGTGGCCGCAGTGCGCCTCAGGGTCGCCGGGCTTACCCACACCGCGCGCGCAGCACCAGAACTGCTTGCCCAGGTTAGGGCCGGCCTTTTTGACCACGCGCTGCACGCACGGTTCGCGGTGTCCGCGGCAGGGCGGCGGTCGGAGCGCGCGCAGCGTCTCGCTCCAGAACGCCGCAGCCGCCGCCGCGACTTTCCGCTCTGCGCCGTCAGGCTCTGTCGGAGTGCTCTGCCAGCTGCTGCCTCCGGAGCTGTCCGACGACTCCACGGCCCCGCCGTTCGCCGTCGCCGCGCCGCCCTCAGGCGTCTGATCACTCTCGCCCGCACAAACCCTGTCAGAAGACTGTGGCCTGTGGTCTCTGAGCTCGTCTGACTGTGCTTTTGTGTCTTGATCCTTCCCTCCACCTCCTCCGCTGTCCGACGAAGGCACTTTGCTCCTCTTCACAAACCCGAGCAGCGTGGCCTGTCCGCCTCGGGCGCGCTTTCCGGCCTGTCTCTGCGCCGGCTGCTGTGGGGGACGCTTTCCACCAGGGGCCTGACCGGAGCACCACTGTTTGATGGTGAGCTGTCGGCCGGCAAACTCCGGGTAGTAGCGCGTGCAGGCGGGCGGTGGCCGACCGGCGGCCTCCAGCCGAGCCCCGATGGTCGCTCGCACCGGACAGTGATCGCTGCCCTGTACATCAGCCAGCACGTCACAGCGGTACACGAGCCCGGCCGCGGCCGCCGGCGCGTCGCACAGCACGTAGTCGATACGGGTGCCGAAGTTGAGCTGACGGGCAGCGCGCTGGGTGTTCCAGCACGTGTAGACCTCTGTAGCAGCCGGGTGCAGTAGCCGGAACGAGTCCACTAGCTGGTCGGGAGCGGCAGCTTCGGCAGCGGACGGCTTACACAGCCAGTCGTCAAGGAACCGGCGACTCGGGCTGGCCGCGAACTCCTGAGTCACGCGGGAAGACAGGCACCGTTAGATTTTGGTCGCTGACAGATTTCGTTCTACTCTGCAAGCGCATTGCTTAGATTCACATTCAAAGAATTTAGGCGCAGGGCGCATGGAGCACCAAAACATTTGGCAGTAACACCTACTGTGGTTATATAGGTAAGATCTATGGTGCATACTGCATACGGTGCATACAGAGTAGCAAACATTTAGGAAATACTGATCAGCGTGCTCATAAATGAAAATGAAAGATATTGTCCCTCCCCTCCCGTAGATTAATACGATCTGTCTACCTATACCCACGCACATCTTTCTCGCGGCACTCACCTTCAGGTCTCCGGGGTCACACGAATCTGCGGGTCGGTGACTGCAGTTGAGATCCCCCACCAGTAGCACGTGGTGACCGGCGGCCCGCAGCGCTGCAGCACGCAGTCTCAGTGCCCGGTAGAAGAGCAGTTTGTAGGCGAGCCGCTCCGGTCGGTCCGGGTCCACGCGCGGACAGTACACGTTCAGCACGGCCACGTGGCAGGGACGGTCTTCGGAGGAGCTGGGACACTGCGGATACGACGGACCTGAGAGACGATCATCGGCACGATACGGGAATGTGACTATCCAACCACGGAACATGGAGATCCTGTGACCAATTAATGACCCTAGTCATGCGTTAAGGATATGATTCTGTGCCATGAAAAGTATCAAGACCCGGATCATCACGGTACGCTTTCATCATGACATCTGCCATCGCAACGATCAAACATCTTTGATCTTAACACCGTATTTAGGCGGCGGCAGAGGTGCGAAATGGTCACCTGGCAGGCGGTGCGGTGCAGGGTGATCACGCAGCGTCCCTCGCCGTCCAGCTCCTTCCGCTCCGCCGGCTCCAGCTCGGCGCCTATCTCGCCGTAGCAGCCCACAGAGTCGGTGTCGACGCCCGAGCCCGCCACACCCGCCTCGGCTGCCGACGGCGTGGCCGACTGGCGGCAGTAGGTCGCCACCCCTGGACACAGCGCGAGGTCAACGGAAGGTGACGAGTTCTCATTTGAGGGAACGTAACATTCAGTTGCTGACCGACGAACATAGGGCAGGACGTCGCGGTCACAAAAATGCCAGCGTCATCAGAGGTTGTAGGTCTAGGAGAAATGAAGTTCAGAGCCAAGAAGCCGGTGACGTTCGCTACGAGGTCCAGTCTTACCGGAGTACCCGCTGCGCCGCCGACTGAAGTCAAAGTAGGAAGTGTAGCCGGGGACGATGGCCAGAGGCTCCGAAAGCATCTCACCTGAAGGCACAGCGGGCAGGCGGCGGCTGATCAGGACTAAGTGCAGGCATTAACAGTACGGTGGTAGATATGTGAACACATTCGCATATCATGCTCTAAGTCATCATAAACTAAATAAATATGTTGATTGTCAAATACTGGTAACAGGAAAAGCACAGAACATTTAAATCCATTCTAAAGACTTTTGTACCAAATGTTCTCTGGTGCCTTTGAGCCTACATCTGTCCAGCATCCGATGAACGATATCAAGCAGATTTGTTGTGATAGGTACGTAATTATTGGATAAAAGTCTTCCTAAACATACGTGTGATTTTCGTTTCCTGGAAGCATATTATGTCAGAATCCAGCTTGTCGAGCATCTGTTTGAGATCTTTTGCAGAACGAAGCCCATTGATGTTCCATGTTGTCACGGTGTACATCACTTGATTGCGGATGTTACCTGTAAAAAGCGTGACAGTCATGACCCATGTCCATGACAAGTTAGCCAGTGCATATGTTAGCAATATTCGTACAGGAGACACACGTTTCAAACTCAGCATTTGCATTAGCAAGACTAGGTAGCATAAACAGAGGGTCGATATTCGATTGCCTGCAAGTTGGTCTGAACTCTGAATTAGAGTGTTATGAATTACCATTTGCAATTCAGGACTAGCCTTCGCACTAATAGGGGGAGGGGGTCAGATTTACTGCAATTTGCTTCCCCCCCCCCCCCCAGTCTGTCGCGAATAACTCGAGAAAAACGCCCAATCCCGATGAAACTTTCAGTGCTCTCGAGTTAATCAATTTGACCAATAGGTATCCTGAAAATTGTATGACTCTGACCCAAATGACCTTTGACCTTAACCTGTGTCAAGGACCCCCAGCTTATTATAAAAGTCTTATTCACAATATTCAAACTTAACCCGCGCCCTGGTGGGGTCCGTTTATAACGCGACCTGGCGGTGGTGGTGTGGGGGGGGGGGCCATTTTTTGCCCCCTCCCCCCCAGTATCTCCGAAACTTCTGGACAGATCTGCAAAATTCAAACGGCGTTCGAAAGCCCTATCAAATTTGTCGTAAGGAATCCAATTTCATTGACCTCGGGGTCACCGATGAGGTCACAGGTCAGGTCAAAGATAAAATGTTTTGTCGGTCACTGGTGTTCTAGGGAATGCGCTATAACATCGAGTATAACGCATTTTATCGAAAATCAACGATAGGGCGTCAGTTGCCTAGTACATATGTTGCTATTAGAGGTCACTGATAATACCAGGTCAGGTCACAGGTCAGGTCACCAAGGGTCAGCAGTTCAGCACATGAACCCAATTTTACTAGGGCTGTGTGATGTATGTTTTATGGCAAATTTTCATTTTAAACTCAATGACGTTGGTTATAAGACCATCAGGAACGGTTTAGGTCACTTCCTGGTGGAAGTAAGGTCAAGGTATATAATATATATATATGCCTGATACAAGCCTGATATATATGAGCCGGTCCCGTAGCTCAGTTAGTAGAGCATTGGACTCCGCGTGGTTAGAGCACGCGTTCCCGGTTATAACAGTCCGGGTTCGAAGCGTGACGGGCGCTTGACATTTATGGGCCTCCTGACAGGTATGGCTGCGGTTGGTGGCAGGCCGTAGCCAGGCGAAGTCAGTGAGGGGACCGGCCGTGCGCGGCTGTGTGCGCACGTTAAACTTTGGACTCTAAATTCTGCCATAGAACTGGAATTTCGCGATCGGAGGGAAAAGGGCAGGGTCACCGCAACAAGCTTCGCTTAGCGGTGGCTTTGTTCTTGTGAATCCTTCCTATTAAAAGGTTCGGACTAAACTTACAAAAAAGGTCAGGTAAAAAAGGTCAAATTTCAAAGTTGATAGTTTTGCATAAAATGGGTATAGATTCGATGCAGCTCGTCACGGCGAGTCTAATGGTGCTCTTTGTTTTGCGCTACGTGGTCTAGAATTGCTAAAAATTGAGTGAAAATTTTTTGTCATCAATTTTGAACAGTTTTTTCGCTATAACTTGGCCAAAAAAGAGGTATCGATCTAAAATTTGGTATGTGAATAGAAGTCGGTAAGGCCTATCACATTTTTTTTTTTGAAAATCGAAAAACTTTGTGGATTTTTTGGCAAATATATTCAAAAATATTAATTTTTGGGGGTTAAAATTCAAAACGATTTAAAATTCAGAGATAGCAGTTTTATAGCCCTGCTCATTTAACACCTTTTATGTCTTTAACGTTTTTCTGTATCTTCAAAGCTATAGGCCTGACAGCTCTTCCCGTGAAACTTTTTTTTGGTCGATAAACGGCAGAACATGACGTCACTCTGACCGCGGACGTCATTTGCAGCCAACCTTTCATAGCTTTTGGAAAAAAATTCTGGTCACAATGTGTAAAACTGATGCCCGGGAGGGTACTGAAAGTTTGGTGATGATCGGCGGAGCAGTTCTGGAGATATATCAAAAAGTCTGGAGGGGGGGGGGGCAAAAAATAGCCCTCCCCACGAGGGCGTGTGTTAAATACCAAAAACAAAAACAAAATTCCCAAGGTATATCAGAACAGTTGTGCTAAATAAAGTGGCAACCAATGTTTGTCATCATTAAGGAAAGGACTAGAAGTTGACAATCTTCCAATGACTTGGACTCCAACAGCAATTCAGACAGGGAAAATAGAATCCCTCCCACGCCAGCTGACACCTGACCATGCTGGAAAAAAAATCCACACGCAATGCCAGACCAGACACCCTGAAAGACAGATCTGCTGATTACGGAGCGAGCGAAGCGAGCGTAGTCTTTCCTTAGATTAACGGAAATTTCTGAGCATGAGCGGCCGGCCGGCCGGCCGGCCGTGCGGACGCTTTTGCGAGGCTTATATCTCAGCAACCACTTGACCGATTTACACGCGGTAAATTTTGTAGGGTAGCTTCATTCCTTCTACCAAGTATTGGACTATTCCTGATGCATGTGGGTGACCCCTTATGCACGTGCCACGTGCAAAACGAAGAGGTGTCAGTTTTGTAATTGTTGCAATATCTCGGTAACTACTTGGCCGATTGCGCTGAAAGTTGGCATGTAGGTAGGCACCCACTAGGCACTGCATATCCATGTGCCAGAGTTGGGGTGTTGCTGCACGTGCGCACGTGCAGGGGTCGTTTCCAGATCTCGAGAACGGCTCAACCGATTGCGCTCAAATTTGGTACACAGTTAGGGACCGGTTAGTAGGGTGCCGTGCAAAAGTCAGTCGGGACCCATTTTGCACGTGCGCACGTGCAGGGTGCCGCTTCCAGATCTCGAGAACGGCTGGGCCGATTGTGCTCAAATTTGGCACATTGCTAGAGACCGGTTAGTAGGGTGCTGTGCACAAGTCAGCTGGAGGTACCCCCTCGCAATTTCGCACGTGCAAGGCCAACCCTCTCGCTCGCTCCGTTACTCGCCCCAAAAGGCGTTATACTGGTTCTCATGCTGTTCCATTTCAGCTGATTACGGAGCGGGCGAAGCGAGCGTAGCGAGCGTAGTCTTTCCTTAGATTACCGGAAATTTCTGAGTATGAGCGGCCGGCCGGGGCCGGCCGGCCGTGCGGACGCTTTTGCGAGGCTTATATCTCAGCAACCACTGGACCGATTTACACGGGGTAATTTTTGTAGGGTAGCTTCATTCCTTCTACCAAGTATTGGACTATTCCCGATGCATGTGGGTGACCCCTTATGCACATGCCACGCGCAAAACGAAGAGGTGTCAGTTTTGCAATTGTTGCAATATTTCGGTAACTACTAAGCCGATTGCGCTGAAAGTTGGCATGTAGGTAGGCACCCACCAGGCACTGCATATCCATGTGCCAGAGTTGGGGTGCTGCTGCACGTGCGCACGTGCAGGGGTTGTTTCCAGATCTCGAAAACGGCTGGACCGATGGCGCTCAAATTTGGTACACAGTTAGGGACCAGTTAGTAGGGTGCCGTGCACAAGTCAGTTGGGACCCATTCTGCACGTGCGCACGTGCAGGGTGCCGCTTCCAGATCTCGAGAACGGCTGGGCCGATTGTGCTCAAATTTGGCACATCGCTAGAGACCGGTTAGTAGGGTGCCGTGCACAAGTCAGTTGGAGGTACCCCCTCGAAATTTCGCACGTGCAAGGCTCACCCTCTCGCTCGCTCGGTTAGTCGCCCCAAAAGGAGCTATACTGGTGTAATGCTTTTATAGTTTGTACGTTTATTCCCAATTCAAATTCAAGGTCCATCAGGACCTATTTAGGTTAGATCCTAATGGTCTAACCTAAATAGAAATAAAAAGCATGTTGTCAATTAAAAACATACCAACTCGGGAGATTTAGCCACTGCCAGCCAGATTGCAATATAAGATAGAAAAGAAGGAACCAAAGTGTGCACAAAAATAGCAAAAATATACCAAGTAGTGTGCACAAAAAAATAGCAAAAATATACCAAGTTTTGAAACAACAGGGGAGCACACGCGCTTGACGACCGTAAAAGCACAACGCTCTAAAAATTGTGTTCGATAAGTGTTGTTGGTCGATGCAGCTCACAACATTTTCAGCTACTGGCCAATCAGCGCCGAGTCGCTGGCAGAATGGCGTTGTCTTCTGTAAAGTGAACATGGTATTGAATGAGCAGCTTTAGCGGGACCATAATTTGGCGTATAATTCTTTATTTAATTACGTATATTTTAAACATGGAAATAGTATTAATTAAACTATCAATTTGTTACATAAATTTGAATTGCAGATTTTTGACCAGGCCAATCTAAGCAGAAAAATGTTACACAAATTTGAGTGACGTAAGATAGCAAAAATATTTTTCGGCGCATTTGATACGAAAGAGCGAATGTGGCGCGCGCGAGACTACAGTGTGCTCCCGCGCTCGTGCGCTGCGACCGCTGCGACCCGTGAAAGTCATTTTACAGTATTTTACATTTATTTACATTTTCGGAGAGATATTGGTTTTTTGCTGAAAGAGATTTCTAACAAAAGGCAAGTGTTAAGATTGTGTGCATTTCAATTTTTAGGCTAGTTTGGGACGTCGTGTCCTTCACTGCTGTCTGCTTTTAAAGTTGACGAAAGCCGGCCATTCCTGTGGAGGAAGCTGTAAGATTGAGACTGAGACCCATAGGTGGAGAATTGTGACCAGCTGGGGGTGCTCGGGCGCAGCAAATCCGCCGCCGCCTAGCGGTGACCTTGACCCGCGCCGCCCGGCCGCGGCTCCAAAGCCAAGCCGGCGTGGCCGGCGTGGAATTGGGAGAGCTCGAGCACCCCCAGTCCAGCACAATTCTCCACCCGTGCTGAGACCTAACAAAAGGAATTGCTTCTTTTTTTTTGTAATTGCATAATCTAAAGAATGTGCATTTTTCTTCTTTAAAACCCAGTCTCTTAAGACTCAAGCTTTAGACTGGAATGCATTCAATTTCAGGATCAAAGGGCTGTTATGATTGCCAGACTCGTGTTACAAAGGCCAAAGTGTCATTAGTGATGTGATCTTGTCATCTTGTCAGTGCAGGGATACTGCAAACTGGACAGTGCATTGCAAATTTACAGTGGTGTGGTGTATAAGTTGTATGATGTGGGGTGGGCCCTTAGTGGTACTGGTACCTAGTCCAAGTCATAAAGCAGGTGTCACTTATTTTTGCAACCAAGGAGAGGTGCTCTACCCAGAGAATAGAGATGCTTCTTTTTAACCAAACCAAAACTAACTTAACCAAACCAAAACTAACCCAACCTAACCTGACCTAACCTAACAACCTGCAACTTAAAGCCTACAACCACCACTACAACCTACATCTCAGGACTTGGTGTGCAGCACCTCCAGCCTCCCTTAACTCCTTGGTTGCACAAACAAAAGTGTGACGCCTTCTTTATGAATACCATGGTACCTACCTACTGTGCTGAACTGCTGTGCTGGTGCAGCAAGCATTATCCAAAAACTCATGCTCTGGGGCATGATGGGCTCAGCCAGCAAAGAATAAACAGTTAAATACAGTTTTGTTATATTAGATATGCAAACTAAAAAAAAAAAATTGGTGTGAAATTCCCAGTTTTGTAACTTGTTTGGTACTGCCTAAGGGTATTTGTTTGGTACTGCCTGATTTGGAGCCAGGGTGTTTTTTTTTGTGGTCCAGTGCAATGTGTCACCCTAGCTGGCTCATCTTGTTAACTGTTGCCAATTGAGCTGAGGTCACATTAGACATTAGCTGGTGTAAAAAAAAAATGCACTAGGCCACATTCATCAGTGTGGACATATTTACCAGCCCTCTCATGACTCTCAACAAGATAGCAGTTTTTCCTATAGTGAAAACCTAGCTCTTGTGATAGAAAATACTATAAAAATGGTATTGAACCCAATTCATCATCATCATCATCAAACAATAAGTAAATGTTTGTTTTTAAGGTGGCAATGGATTTTAAAGGAATTTTTACCATGCTGTGCATATGGTTATTTTTAAACTTCTTGATGGTCTGAATCCCAAAACAGGAATAAACATAAGGAAGTTAATTTTGGGCAATCCCTTACAGAGCCTGTGATTTTTAGCAATGCTTTAACTTTCAAACATTGAACATAGTTATTGAATTGTATTATTTTGCATAATATATTATTGAACAATTACTGATACCTATCATACCTGCCAATTTAAGATATCACTGTATTATATTTGTTTCAGACTTAAATGTAGATCAGCCTGTGTCAACAAACATTTGTCGAACCATGTGTATTGCTTGGACATCCAGCGAACATCAACATTGCTTCATTTGTTTTGATTTTGTATTTTGTCATTTCAGGCTTGTGTTGAAGAAAGTTTGTTCTCCAGGCAAACTTTGTGAGCTACCATGGATTTCCTGGAGTACAATGATGCTCTGTATGAACAAAGAGGTGCCATGATGGCCGGAAAACTCCGTGTCACTGACAGTGATGTCGTATTCAAGTATCGGAAATCAGGTAAAACAGAGCAGTTTCCTGGCAAAGAAATTGACCTCCTGAACTGGCAAAGGATGAGTGGTGACTGGGCGCTGCGGATATTTCTAAAAAACGGCGACCTGCATCGGTTCGGTGGATTCAAAGATACAGACCAGGAGAAAATCGCAAAGTTTTTCAAACAAAACTTTGGCAAAGAATTGGCGACAAAGCAGCTGAGCCTCAAGGGCTGGAACTGGGGCGCTGCTGTTTTCAAAGGCAACACGCTAAGCTTTGATGTGGATGACACGACTGCGTTCGAGTTTCCACTCGGCTACGTGTCTGGCTGCACACCAGGCAAGACGGAAGTGACGCTCGAGTTCCACACCAGCGACGACGCGGCTGTCAGCCTGATGGAAATGCGCTTCCACCTGCCGGCGACTGCAGAGAACCCGGACCCGACCGAGGCGTTCCACGACCAGGTGATGAAGAAGGCCAGCGTGGTGACCGCCACCGGCGACGTCCTGGCCATCTTCCGCCAGGTCAACTGCCTCACGCCCCGAGGTCGCTACGACATCGGCATCTACCCCACCTTCGTCAACATGCACGGAAAAACGTACGACTTCAAGGTGCCGATCTCCACGATCCAGCGATTGTTCCTGCTGCCGCATCGCGACGGACGGAAAACCTACTTCGTGTTGGCGCTGGATCCGCCTATCAAGCAGGGCATGACGCGCTACCACTTCCTCATCCTCAGCTTCGAGCTGGATGAAGATGACGAGATGGACCTGGAGCTGCCCATCAGCGACGAAGAACTGCAAACAAAGTATGAGGGGCGCGTTCCGAAGGAACTCAAGGGCCAGAGCTTCGAGGTGATGTCGAAGCTGACCAAAGGGCTGGCCAACAAAAAGCTGACTGTGCCGGGCTCTTTCCGCGGACACTCGGACACGCCAGCGATCGCCTGTTCGTACAAGGCGGCCGCCGGCTACCTGTATCCTCTCGATCGCGGGTTCATGTACATCCACAAGCCGCCGATCTACGTACGACTCGACGATGTGATCAGCGTGAACTTCGCGCGTAGTGGCGGCGGCACCAGGACCTTTGATTTCGAGATTCAGGTCAAGAACGACATTATGCACACGTTCAGCAGCATCGAGAAGGAGGAGTACAGCAACCTGTTCACCTTCGTCCAGGACAAGAAGATCCGGATCAAGAGCAAGGGCGGCATGGAGAAGGGCGCCAACTACGCATCTGAGGATGACGGTGCGGCCGACCCGTACCTGGAGAGGATGAAGCGCGAGGGAGAGGAGCGGGACGAGGATGACTCGGACGAGGACGAATCGACGGACGACGACTTCAACCCGGACGCGGCCGGTGGCTCCGACGTCGCCGAGGAGTTCGAGAGCAACCCGGAGAGCACTGACAGCGAGGGCGGCGAGTCGGACAACTCGGAGAAGAGGGCCAAGCGGCAAAAGAAGAAGGAAAAGAAGGAGAAGAAGGAGCGAAAACGGGCGAGCAGTGCGAAAGAGAAGCCGGCCAAGAGGAAGAAGAAGGACTCGGGTGCACCCAAGCGGCCCATGTCGGCCTACTTCTTATGGCTGAACGAGCACCGTGAACAGATCAAGGAGGAGAATCCGGGCATCTCCATCACGGAGATCAGCAAGAAGGCCGGCGAAATGTGGCGTGAGCTGAAGGACAAGTCAGAGTGGGAGAAGAAGAACCAAGAGGCCAGGGCGAGGTACGAGGAGGAGATGAAGGAATGGAGAGCCTCTGGCGGCGGTGGTGGTGGTGGCGGCGGCGGAGGCGCCTCCAAACCCAAGAGCAGCCCGAAGAAGTCCACTGGTGGCTCGTTAGGCGGCGTCGGATCCGGCTTCAAGAGTAAGGAGTACATCGAGGATTCCTCCTCCAGTGACGACGACGAGAAGCCGGCAAAGCCCAAAGCCAAGCCCGCTGCAGCCAAGGAGAAGGTGAAAACCGAGAAAAAGGAGTCTGAAGACGATGAGGAGGAGGAAGCCGAGTCGACGCCGGCGTCGAGTGACGCTTCCGGCGGCTCGGGAGACGACAGCGACTGAAGAGGAGCTGTCTGTATGCATTATCTGTCTGTAAATTCACGCCAATGTCTCATGTGTAACGCCATGTGTCCTGTATTGTAGAGTGAGCTACAATACACCTATTTTCATCGTCACTGTGTTGATGCTGTTAGTCTGATCGGTAGCACAGGAGACGCGTCAATATCGATGCCAAGGGAGACGGTTGCGAATTTAGTGATAATGTTTTCAAGTATTTGCAATCGCAGGCGGTTACCTTACCACGCTAGTCACTACCCTACTTTACTCTGTCAACTACCTGTACGGAGTAGTTTTATTCCAAAATCAGACCGATGATTATCTCCCCGTTTATGAACTGGCTCATTCAAAGACAGTTGCAGCGGGCATTAGGCGACTATCTGTCGTCACGAATCGTGATATCCATTGAGTCAACGACACCTTGCGAATTGCGAAACAATGCCCTTTCATCGGATTTTAAGTTGTGTTCAATTGTGTCCTTGAGGCGGCTGTGTAGCATGCCGTTGGAATCCGTCCCTCTCTCATTTGAGACCAATCTCCTTGGTCCACTCTCAGCGGCCGGTGCGGTAAAGATGAGCCTTCGAATCCCTCTCCGATCGTCTCGGCACGCCCGCTCGTCTCCGAGCTCGGTCCGTCGGCGCGGGCGGCCGGCACGCCACAGTCGACGGTAAAAAGTCGCCGTGTTGCGGCCGGCCAGTGAAAGTGGGGGTGTGCAGCGGGCGTCAGGTGGGCCGGAGCGCGGACATCTGCCGGGTGGGGGCAGCACGGCAGGTACCGGTCACCCGTACACTGGTACCGGCGCGGTACAGTCGTGCGGTACTCCGAGAGCCATCCCGCAGGGACGATAGAAGCGGTTCACCGGATACCCGGAGTTCTGAGGTGGCGCCGCACTGCTCTCAGTGACCGTCTGACTTTCTGCTGACGAAACGGTAAGTGCTGGGGTGCGATCGGGTGGGCATCGGGTTCATGGGAGAAATTGGGTGATGGTGCAGGTCCAAGGGTGGGTGGTTGGTGTTTGCTGCAGTTGCGCTGTTTAGCTCTTCAAACATCGTTTCATATATCGTTCAATGTTTATTTTCAAACACCATTCGATGCTACCAAACGCTATTCCTCCTTTTAGCTATCCGATAAAGCATAACGTCAGATTTTAGGTAACTACTGCTAGAGCACCAACGGTTGAGCTCTCGTACCTGTCGCTTTTTCGTCCATTTTTTATGGTTACATGTTTTTCAGCGCTCAGCGGATCTTCTAGTCCATCGTCTGCCGCCATGGGAACTCGAAAGCTGCCGCGGGCCCACCTGAGCTGACCCCGTCTGCAACTGCAACTCTCGTTTAAACCTGGCCAGGCGGACATATCGGGATTTGGAAACGGCCGAGCTATGCGGTAAGTGTGAACCTGCGACTATCGTGTCTAATATTACCCGAATAATGAGTTTTCTAGCGTCATCTGAATAATGCGTGTTGCACGCGATTGTCTCGTCTAAAAAGGTGGCAGAGTTGTGCATTTAATAGTGCTTCATACACGTCTGATAAGACCTGTCTCCAGTTCATTTGTATTTGGGTTACGCGAATAAGTGATAATTATTTGCCTTTGCCGAAATCAGTCATATCTTGCTTACAAGAACCCGACATAAAGTTACTAACCTTTACCATTTGTCTCACTGGACCCGTGTCTCACCGGCTGTTCTCCGTCCACAGGGCGCCGGTGCAGCAGCTGCTGTTGCGCCGCCGCTGGCTCTCAGTGACGCTCCTCCTTCTGCTGGCGGTGCTGCTGCTCCTCCTGACTGCCGGACTTCGGCGTCTGGCCGACCCAGCCGACCGCGCACTCTCCCGACGGGTCGCCATCATCGGGAAGAAGATCCGCTCGCAGCCGGTGGTGAACCGCGCCTCGTTCGACCGTCTGCGGGAGCCGGCCGGGGACTGCCCGCCCGACACGGCCCTTCTGGTACTGGTCACCTCGGCGCTGACCAACTGGGAGCGCCGCCAGGCGGTGCGCGACACGTGGGGCGGCTCGGACCACCTGCGCGTCCACGTGGTGTTTCTTCTTGGAGACGGTGAACCAGACGACACAGAGCTGCTGCGGACGGAGGCCGACCGGCACGGTGACATACTCCAGGAGAACTTCCGAGACTCGTACCACAACCTGACGCTGAAGACGATGATGGGTCTGCGCTGGGCCGCGGAACGCTGTCCGCAGGCCAAGTTTGTCGTCAAGACGGATGACGATATCTACTGGAGCCTGCCGCTGCTGATGTCTCATCTGGATTCACTGGACGAGAAAAGGTTTATTACAGGTACGGGTCCTCAGCTCTGCCTTTGGCCAGCACCATGTTTTGCCGATATCACTAGTGTTTATGATATTTGTAACGCATATAATCTTGATATCGATGCTTGTGCATTATGTGACATCAACGTGCTCGTTTGATATGAATCGGTATTAAACATGCAACGTATTTTCTCCGTTGTATGTAACCGCATTTATGACCAGGCCTCCAACTATTTCACAATTTCCGGTACATCCGAGCCCCGTCGGTCGGCGTGTACGAATCTCCTCACACCTTCTCTCCCGTTACAGGGTGCATCAAGCAGCTGTCTGCTCCTCCTGCTCTGAGCGCCGACGGCCGACCGGCGCCGCCGGGCCACCCGCAGTTCGCCGCTGGTGCCGGGTACGTCGTCAGCGGGGACCTGGTGGCTGACCTCTACCAGGCGGCGCTGCGCGTACCCCTGCTGCCAGTTGAGGATGTCTTTATCACCGGCTACTGCGCCAAAATGGCACAGGCGTGGCCGCCAAAACATCACACAGGTGGGAGACGTGTGTTAATGCTCGTAGTTTCTCATGCCGATGTCGTTTTCTTATGCATAAGCATAACGTCATTTTGACCTTGCGCGAATGCAAGCGAGTCAGAATGCCGAGCACCAACAATGAATGATGAAAAGTGTCCACTGAATACACTTGCCTCTACATTTGGTGCTCAGCTAATAGAACGTGCATTTGTAAATGCGCATTTTATAGTGTCCCGCAGTGAATCCGTTTTGTATATGATTCGATGAATTTGTGTTCTCTGCCGGCAGGATTCAGCTGCGGCGACATTCTGTCTGACGACTGTGACCTGGTGCAGCTGTTTAACGCGCACAAGATCACCCCGGCGAGACAGTACCTTATCTGGGACAAGTTCTCGACCGAGCCCAATCCGTGCATGGACTTCTGAGACCGTCTATGTCGCCTCCGTCGTGTAGAATCGTCGAATGGTCGGTCACGCGGCACTCGCAGTCTGCGGTTGCGGGGCACACCGACACCCCCCTACCGTTATATTTTTGGTAGCGCTTTGTATGCTGCTGTATTGGCTGTGGAAAATCCCGTGACAGCTATAAAAGCTATATAAAGGTCAAATGTTCCTTTGGGGATTGTGATGCACCCTGCCCCTGTTTTGACCAGGGAAGCAGGGCAATGCGAGTCGTTTTTACTAGATTTGTCAATGAAATATAAAGGTCGCATATAATGCAATCCGGCATTAACAATGGCAAGAGTTTCATCACAGTAAGCCGCAGATTTTGGTGATGCGGTCTCACCCTGCCACAAACTAGGGGATTGGTAAGAGAGCTAAATACTGAAGAAGTGAAGCTAAATATGAAGCCGACCTCTTGTAAGTTATGCAGCGTTCCAAAACACTTTCGCCAACTGGGCTGGCGAAACGTTCCACATACAACTTTCGCCGCTGAATGCCGGCGTGACCAGACACCGCATTCATTTCTCCCGTCACCTGTATTGTCTCCCACCACCCCTGGCACTCGGTACATAACAATACTAACACTGCCGGGCGAGCGCGGGTCGCCGGCGCTCCGCTGGAAAGCCAGAGTATAACAAACTACGGTACAAAACTACGCCGTACGCACGACGCGCAAAATACTGGCAAGCGGCGGCGCATATTGATATTCTCGGTATACCATCTGGGACCGAAAACGGCGAGCATCGACACCCTATCAGGGGCAGAGGTGGTTACAAAATGACCAATGACGATACAGAGCCATGTGAACGACGAATCGCAACGGCTGATGCAGATAAAGGATAATAACTGTAATACTAATAAAGTGCGCCGTAACGTGAACACCATCGAATGACGTAACAAGTCCTATAGACATCACCAAATATAGATAAAACGAGGTCGTGAACACCACAGAGCCACCGCCGGTGCCGTCCGCCGGGTTCGAATAGCTGGGAAGACGGGCACTGCGACCGCACCGCTCCGCGTCCCTTCCTTCGCCGACCTAACGACCGGAGACAGGCACCGCTGTCGGCCATACAACACACGCGTACTGGTACAGGCTTTGGTCTACGTTAGTCGAACCCCGCACCCGGGCCCTGTTTCACAGCACGACGCTAGAGCCCGCTACGTGTATGGGTGTATTGGGTTTCCATGGAAACATCAACAAACTCGGACGCTCGCAACGCTGCAACGTCCGATTTTGTTTAGGTAAATTCGTCTCAAAAGTCAAACGCCGCACCAATACCGTAGCTAGCGTAGCGCACTGTAGCGTCCTGCCGTGAAACAGGGCCCTAGGCGCACCTACAGATTATCTGCCGCGATGAGGTCCACATGTCGCATTTGTCCGCTAGGTGCCAGCACCGCCGAGGTTTCCACTCTATACAAACTGAACTTCACAACGCGCAAACATGCAACAATGTTTTGTTCAAGTTGAGTTCTCATGCCTCCAAACAATATCTGATGAGCATTATATGTTGCTTAATACTGTCACACACCACCAAAAATACTCAGAAAATAGCCTCAACCAATAAACCGAAGCGGCATTTTGCATCCGCCGCGTGCTTTCACATTCGACACCAGTGGCAATGTTTGGTTGTAATAAAACGAAAAAGAAAGAGAAGAAAACAACACATCACCGCAATAACATTAACTATTGGGGTTTGTTGAGCAGTCTGATACGCGACTTATTTAACAGTGATATAGTTTTCGATATTAATCAATAATTAAGTCAACCAACGATGACATGAATAAGGTTTCTTTCAGCAATAAGTAACAACCAGCGCTGCTATTCTTCATGAGAAGTAAAAAATGTTATAACATGATTCAACAACAAAAGATCTGATGATGATTCAATGGCAACAAAAAGGCAATAGTTGAACCAACGGCGCTCGTCCACCATGATACCTGCCTGAGAGGCTAATACTACTCGAAACATGTAACAAGATTCTGGCAAGGCACCGCCAACGCTCGAGAACACGCCAGCGACTCACAGCTTTTGATTTTTGCCGCCGATGGCCGAAGGAAGCCACGCGCAGGGTAAGTGAACGTTATGCTGCAAATTATTAACACCACGAAAACAGGGAGCACCTGCAGTATGCTTAAATACTCGTCTAAAACGTCCAAGGAAAAACTCAAAACCGACTGACTCAGAAGAAAATGTGAGCCAAGATAAGATACCATCAGATCCGGCAACACACGACGTATGAAAGTGCATTGAAGCGATCACATTCGTTTCGATAGCATTCACGTTAGACAGCTTTCATATTCAAAACCTACAAAATCATTAAGACGGTACGAGACACAGGCACAGATGAGAGACACCTGTTCCGGTTAAAACCTGTCCGGCGACTCTGCCGTGGAGCATACAGTGACCCTGTGGGCTGCGAGGGGGCCCGCGCGGGTCGGCCGGCCGGCGGAGAGGGCGGCCATCAGGTGGCGCGACTGTACTGACGCCGGTGCTTCTCGTCGATACCAGTCAGGTAGTAAGTGCCCGGGAACAGCACGGACGGGTCGCCCTTGGGCTGGTACGGCGCTGCGAACGGAGACAGTGTGCAACGTCAGTGTCTGATCATCGCTGTTCGACAGCGAACAGCGATACGATGAACTGCTGACCGACAGCCTCGAGAAGCATGTACTCCTTTTCATCTGCGCTGAGGCTCAAATTGAGAATTATTATAATAAGCGACGTCAGAGACATAAACATTTACGGTACAGCTTCCCATTTTGTCCCTCTGACTATGAGAAGACGGCATCCCCGGACAAGCGGACTCACCGAGATGATGGCTCTCCTCCCTCAGCTTCATGGTATCGGCGAACACCTGGGGAGGCACCTTCTGACGCGACTCGAGACGGGACATCACGTCCGAGACGCACGCCAGCTGAAACACGGAACAGAGGGTAAACATATGCGGCAAGGTGAGATATACATAGACGGTGCGACAACAGACATCACGTCCGAGATACACGTCGACATCTGAAAGGGGCATACACGATCACACGCAGTAGATAAAGTCGCACAAGGAATGTGGTGGATCATATACCGCGGCACGGATGAGTCACATTCCACACGGAGGAGTCATATACGACACGGAGAACGTTTGGGAGGAAAGAAACAAGGCAGCATCAAAGAGCGACTGAGTCACGAGTACGACTAACGACAGCGGGAAGCATGATGGGATAGAAAAACACGGCAGAAAATAGTACCGCATGCGTGTTGACTTCAGTCGCCTGTCTCTTTTGTTATGCAAATCTCGCTCAATCTCACTGAGGTTCCTTTGCAAATTGCAAGTCTCGCAGGTTAATTCTGCACACAGGCGTGTGCCACCGTTCACCTCCGGACACCCTTGTGTACGGGCGTCACGAACATACGCCGTAACCTTGTGACAGGGCAGGGCAAGACCCCGGGACGTTTTCAGCACGACAACAAATAGACCCCCCTGGTAGGCAAGCAAGCCTCAGCTGAAAACAACCTAGGACAAAGGCGGCGCAATTGCCGAGACGGCACCTGCACGGTGGGGACCCGGAGACAAATGCATTGTGATACAGACCTGTGGTGTGTCGGCACAATACTGACAGTGTTGAGCCCGGCGGGGGTCGATGGAGGGGCGGCGACGGGAGCCGGGGTCATGGGGGTCATCGGACGGGGTCGGGTGACCGTTCAATCGATAGGTCAGGAGGAACTGGTGAGGTCCGGGGGCAGGGCGATCACAGAGCCTCCAGGCCAGCGTTCCGGCTTTTACAGGGGGTTTGGTTGGAAGGTAAGCTAAAAAGAAAATCTAATCGGGATTACGAACTTATCAGCCTCCTCGTTTCAGACGGTCAGCTTTGTATGTCAGCTTTATACGTATCATAATTCATAGGGCCTGCAAACGGGTACAGGCTGGGACTCGGGTTTTCATGTCGCCAACAAGCCGACTCATATGGTCTGAAAACGGGCACGGGTACAGGGACGACTCATTCGAGGCCAGTCACTGTGCATCCAGGAACTCATCACGGCCCTCAGACAAGGACATTATTCACCAGTGCCTCTAAGCGAGAGCCGGCCGGGGCCGTTGTTTCCAGGCGAGAGCCGGAGCTGCCAAGGCCTCCTGAAGTGTAAGTCCCGGCTGCATGATGGTCTGGATTTTAGGACGCCTCGGCCACAAAGGCCCTTTGGCACAGACTGTCACAATGTCATGAACTCACCAGTGCCTCGAGGCGGGAGCCGGAGCCGTTGCTGGTGGCCACCCGGATGGAGAACAGAGACGAGGCCAGCCCGGAGCCGTACGAGAACAACGCTATCCGCGTACCAGTCAGCTCGTCGGGCTTCTTACTGAAATCGACAAATACAGGCACTGTGTAAGATATATAAAATGTACCATAAAACCCTATTATCACCGGCTACGCTTAACTAAATAAACATTATGCATAATGTTTACATCAGACTGCCGGAAAAGCAACGCCACACAATCAACCCACCCCTAATACACTTCACAAAAACAACAAAGATTTTTGACAACGAAACAAAAGCAGCACAAATATTGGAGCACGGCTATGTTCAGTACGTTGCGTAAGACCGGTCGCCACCGCTCGAATTTGGGCACACTCGATGTTCCTTTCCGCACTGACTCAAGATCCTATATAGGCACTGACCTGACCAGCAGCGAGACCAGGCAGCTGTACAGCGACGGCGTGTACATGTTGCCCACGTTGGAGGCCAGCAGCAGCGACGGCCGCGTCTTCTTCTCGAACTGGTCGCGGCTGCGCTCCATGAAGGCCTTCTCCACGTCGCGGTCAAAGTAGCTCTCCTCCAGGGTCTTACCTCTGCAGGAGATCGGAACGGGGTGGTGTGGTGTGATACTGGGAGCCGGAGCACTTGGGAACGCGACGGATACCCGCGAAGAACGAAAGAAATGTGGGACTAAATGCAACATTCACAATGACATTCAATAATGGTTAGCCCTTACAATACTATGTCGAAAGGAACATACGAAATTCAAGCCGAATCAAAGAACAAACGAAGCAACGAACAAGGAAAGGTTCTACTACCTATGAACGAATAAATAGCTAAATGAATGAAGGAATGAATGAATGAATGAATGAATGAATGAATGAATGAATGAATGAACGAATGAATACATAAACAAACAAATCAATCACAGTAGCTCACTCCATCCTAAAAGTCTCGCATATATTCGAATAGACCATGATTATTGCCACATCACCCTACACCCACGTATACAAACAATGGATCAAATACAGTCATATTCTACTCTTTGCGATAACTATCTCTCCCTAATGCACGCATGTGTTTCGACGCCGAAGGTCCATGACCGCACTGACCTGAGCTCCTCGAGGCCCGAGTACTTTTCGGCTACGGTGGCGTCATCGGCCTGCAGGAAGTCGTTGAAGACCAGGCGGGCCAGCGACTTCTGCACCAGCTTACCGAACGGCGAGTGGAAGAGCACGGCGTCGAATGAGTCGACCGTCACCGCGCTGCCACCTGGAGACACAAAGAGCATGGATGAACTGTGAGAACTCTGCCTTTTAAGCCGCTTAAACAAATTGCCATTTATTTATCTTCAATCGACAACTTAAAGGTTAAGCTAAATTTATAGGAGCACTGCAATCATCACAAACAAATCGCTAAATCATCGTGGGTGAAAGCGTCCACCTGGCAAAGCCGTATGAAGCCTGGGTGTGGAAAGACACCCAGCTGCGATTACCGGACGCGCCGCCTTTCCGACGAGCTAAATCATCAGTAAAATAGGATTTCCGGCTCGACATAAATTGCTGTGCGATGCGAGTATTCTATTCATACATGTGTCAGAAAAAAAATACATCGAGGTGACGGTCCAGCTACATAAAGGTGTAAATAAAGGACGTGTAGCATAAATGTGTCGTAAGGTTATTGCAAGGATGGGGAATAAGCTATATCGAATTATATTAGGGATGCAAACAGAACCATGAATGAGCGACACTTTCCGGATGTTCCTTTCGCGATAATAATAATGTTTGGATTTCGTTCTTTCAACATTATCGTTGGCACCCAGAGGTCAGTTCGTGCTACGGATATCCACATAACTTCAACTTCTACGTCAAGCAAGTCCAGTTGCCATGTCACAATCGTCCTGGCTATTTCGAGCCATCTGTTGGAACATTGACGAAATGCAGGACAAGCGGTACTGAACGGTTCGATTGTGCAATACGCCATTTGACATTCTCCTCCACGTCGCGGATGAACGACCCTGTCAAACCGTTTGTTTCCACACGGGTCCGCAGAAGATAACGGCTACATCTGTTCATCGAACCGCGCACGTCACCGCTGTTGACGTGACGCGGACGCAACAGCTGTTGACGAAACGCGCACGTCAGCGGTCCTATCGCCGGTGGGATAGCGGAGCTGCGTGTGTATCGGACGTTTTTGGACACCGATCACCTATGCTTTATAAAACGCTAGTGAAAGAAGATGTGAATATCGTAGGTCAATGGGGTCTATGGCATCACATTCACGGCGACAATCAGCATAATGTCGGGTCCATACGGCTGTAACAAGACCTTTTATCTTACATCGATCCAAACCTTGGATAAATCAAGCAGCTGAGACTGAAGTTCGTGACCACATTTTTGTCGTAGACGCATTTTCAGCTCAAGCAATCTATCAAACCCACAGATCTGTATGTGCCCGTCCTTCCACCGCAGCTCCGTGCGCACATCCGTGGCCGGATGGCGGTAGCAGTTGGAACTGCCGGGGGCGGGTGGCCCGTTACTGCGACCACAGCGGTCGGGAGGGACGAGGGGAGCGCTGACGACTCGCTATGTGTGTGCTGTGTGCCGTGAGCCGTCCAGCTGCGATATCTGAAGCCATCAGCCACCATCAGCGCACGCGTTAAATACCGGCGGAGGTAGGTTGGCTCGACCGACGGATGAAAGGACGGACAGAAGAAACAAAAAGTGAATGAATGGAGACGGGGCCAATGAATGGACGCTAATTGACCGAATAACTCTTTAAATAACAAGCACAAAGAAAGGGCAGAGGACAGCGACAAACGAATAAAGGTAGCGGTTCTAATACGGCTAAAGAGGAACGTCCGCTGGCCTGCGGCGGAGGTTTGAACGGACGGAACTGACTCATGTGGGGGTATGGCCGCGGGTAGATAACCCTCCAGTCGACGACTCCGCCGCAGCAGTCGGATGTGACTCGACAGACGGACGTTATATAAAGTACAGTACCGCCGAGATAACAACGCCGTATGGACACAATCACCGCAGCGGGACAGGCCCCGCTGAACCACAAGCTAACAGCGGAAAGTGCCGACCCAGTTCTGCAAACAACATACCACCGAGTGAGCCAGCCGCGGCGGAATCACTGCGGCTGGCTAGAAAGACAGCAAGCTCGGCTTAGAAAAAAAAATGAAGCCTTGGCCAACCCAATCCCAGTCATCTCCCTTCTCTCTGTGACTTTTAGTGACCTTTGGTGACCCCAGTAGCTCATCTGTGGCGCCCGCGCGCCACCCATCGCTCCGATCCGCGCCTCTCTACACCCGGGGCGGCCGGTGGAATATCGCGGGCCGGGTCGCACCGTGCTAACCCCGCCTCAGGCAAGGTTAGTGAACCGCGATCGGCCCGATGATATGCGACGCAGGCACGCTGTGAGTTGGCTGGAGAGGCGAATCGCCACCGTAGTATGGTAATTTCTCAGTGGTCGCTGGGCGGTCGGGTAGTGACTGAGAGTACGGAAAAAGGCAATAAAGCAGTCTCCTAAATGAAAATTCACGACAGATTGCAGCATATGCAATAACAGATACCGTCGTAGAAAGGCTAAACCTGCGCGAAAGGCACGAACTTGCATATTGCATGGGATACATAGTCCATATGGCAACAAGTAACAAAACACACGGCAATAAAGTGAAATATTACATGACATCAATTTATATAGATTAAAAAACTCTTTATTCACGATGTTCAAAGCGTATTATACCAGACTAAAATGACATTGACGGAAAAATTGTCATTTTCGCATCGGAACTATAGCTAAGGGATAAATTACATTTTTATTCGGTTTTGCAGCATAAAATCATCACTTACCGGGTTTAGATTATTGCGTGAGACTTTCTTCTCAGTTGCAGTGGATATTACCTCTTTCTCCGTCCCAAAATGTCCAAGCGGGACGTGATCAAATGTCGAAGCCAGTGTTTGTACTGCATTATGATAGCGAAGCAATACCGATCAGAGCCTGTATACCTTGGCAGATATACTGCAGTGCGCTGGTAATTTGTCACCAATCACACGCCCAGAACCCGGATAACTTCGGCTTTCGACAGAAGTTTCATGCATTTGAATTCCTTTAGACATAAAGTATAGGTAAGATATGTGTGTAAACAAAGCGGAGAATGTGGATACCAGCTAGAATATCTATCGTGCATATCATATCACAGAACAAAAGTCACACGCATAGCATAACAGTGGATCACAATGTTCGCTGGCAGGGACCGCCCGCGAAGAGGGGGTCCGCTGGAGCGGGACTGACCTAGATGAAAACGTATAGTAAAATGTCCGCTAGCACGGACCGCCCAAGGAGTGGGAATCCGCCGGAGCAGGACTGACCTAGCCGGGAAGAAAGGTAAAAGTAAAATGCTCTCTAGCAGGGACCGCCCGCGGAGAGGGGATCCGCCGGAGCGGGACTAACCTGGTCGGGCGGCGGCCTTCTGCCGGTAGCGCCGGTAGCACTGGTCCAGCGCACCCAGGTAGCTTTGGATGCTCAGTCGTCCATCCACCACCGGGTACTCGGAGCTCAGGTCCGGCTTGTAAAAGTCGTACGCGTGCTGCATGTGACTCGACCGCAGACCTGGATCATGATAACCGTCATGTAGCTAAAAATAGAGATATTGGTTGTCACACTGCCTTGTGGCTTAACGGCTTACCATTACAACTGTCATAGCAAATGCTCAGTTCGTTAATACGGTATTGCAAATAGCCAGTCAATGTCAATCAAGTGAGCGATCATTAATAAGCACTAGGGCCGATTACTGCATCCCAGTAATGTGGCAACGTGAAACAGAAATAACTTACGGACAAATATACCGTGCAAATTCTTCCAAACATCACGTAAGAAAATGATTGCAAAGGCACCCCATGGTAGATCATCACTCAAGATTCGCTGCAATTGTTATCTGTAGCTGGCTGGCTCTGAGCCCACCCCTCCCCAATCGTCAAAATCCCACTCACCTCTCTCCACGACGAGCGGGGCGTGCGGGCCGACCAGCATGGCCACGGCCCCGGCGCCGCCGGTGGGGCGCGCGCTGCCGCTGGCGTACACGGCAATATCGCCACAGACGACCAGCGCCAGGCGACCGTCCCACGACGACGACTCGACCCAGTTGAGCGCGTTGAACAGCGCCGCCGTGCCGCCGTAGCAGGCGTTGGTGGTGTCGACGCCCTCCACATCTGTCTCGGCGCCGGCCGGGAACAGCTGCATCAGCACCGATTTGACCGACTTGGACTTGTCGACCAGCGTCTCGGTGCCGACCTCCAGACGGCCGACGGACGAGTACTCTGCCGGCGCGGTGCGGCACCGGTTACAACCAGATCATAGTGCGAAACCGGCAGCGGTAGGACTAACCTAGTAGCCCGATCTATTCATAGATAATCATAACATAAAACCAGGCCACAATTAGAAGAACGTAGAACAAAAATCGGCTACAAAACGCTATTTTTACGGGCATTTCGGAAAAAGATCGGCCGTAAAACATTACCAAATGATTCTATCCGTAGCAATCGACAAGTAAAATCTAATTCTCAAATTGTGGAGTAGAGATAATCGGTTCATATAACACCGAATGTTCCAGTGTGCTGTGCTTACCGGTGCCTGTCTTCTGCATCAGGTTATGCACCACCGTCATACAGAGTGAGTTGATATCCTCCAGGTCCGAGCAGAAGCCCATCCGCTTCTGACCGAGCCCGATAGTGTACTTTCCGGCGGAAACTCCGTCAAACGCCTCCAGTTCTGAAAACCGTGATAGATAGGAGTGAGTGAATTAACGTCATAGGTGGCGGACGTCAATATCGACTCCCAACCTCAAAATGAAGGGGCAACATCGCGATGGCGTGAAACCAATCCAGCTATACGCAACACTCCGGTCATAGGCACATGACGTTATTATAACAGCTTGTTGAGCTTATCGGGACAGATTCATACAATTTGAAACATATTTGTTGGGTGCTTAAATTTTAAAATGCTAAGAAATAATATCATTACATACATAAAACAGTTAATCAAAGCAAAACAGCCGGTTATAGAAAGGAAAGGGAAATAAGTAACGACATCTTACCTTCTTGGTCGACGTATTGAGACGGAAAATAAATTTCCATGGCAAGGATGCCGACATTTTCCGGCCAAGCTCCCTTCTCCGACGCCATTGTTTCAATCCTGCAACAAACAAACCACAAACTTCAGTTAGTATTGTGACTCGTGAGGCGTCCATAGTCTTCCAAGTTCCAGTGATCGACGGGCTGAACAATAAATATCGAACCAACAGAGATTGCCTGTGAATAAAACATCGCCTCCATTGCACCGTCCATATCGCATGCCGCTCACATCCACCCACCACACTGTCAGAGCCGGTTCACGCGACTGACATCCCGGCCCGAAACCGCCGCGCCGCCCTCCCGAGTGACCTTGAGGCGGTGCCACGCCCCCAGTCGGCATGACGTCACGGCGACGTCGGAGGCCGCCCCTTGACACCGCCACCGATGAATGAGGATGTCACCGGACACTGAGCCTCGTGACCGAGCGCGAGCCTGCCCGCATAGCGGCGGGGCGGCAAACGGGGTGGGCGCCTGCTGCCCAGCGATGCTTTGACTTTTAAACATGAGCAGCTTGAGGTTGGAAAGAAATAGGCCGTTAAGCAAAATAGATAAATGTGAAAAGAGTGCACTCTGATGCACAAAACAAAAATCATTTATAGGCATGGTATTGATGTAAAAATGCAATCTATAAAAGCTAATTGTGCCCACATAGGAGAATAGTAGATACAAGAAAGATATACCTATTATTTTGGTGTCTATGCCAAAATTACATTACAAAGTTAAATACCAATGTCTAGTGTTCCAACATCAGCCTTTTTATGAAACTAGTAGGCAACTTCATCAGGATCAGGTTTCATAATTGTCTTCAATCTGCTAAGTAAATTAATGAACAAAAAAGATATATACAATGAAAGACAACATCCCCAAACACTAGCAACACCTGCAAAAACTTGGGGTCCTTTCTGAGACTGCTAATGATAATGTATTTGGAGTCTGGGTTAGAACAGTTGTAATGTGCTAATGCTATAGCATTCAGCTGTCTGCCCAGGACTGCAAAGGGTGGTCATTTTGATCTTGATGAGACCTTGATGAAGAAGGGGCACTCAGCTGGTCAGTGGTATGTGAAGGTTTAACATGGTAGGAGTAGTGTTGGTATATTGTATGGAGCAGTGCAAACCTAAATATCTAAGTGGTATCCATTTCCTGTACTGAACCTCTGCACTGGAGAAATAGCATGCTTCAAATTATATAGAAGTAAGTGATCAAATCCCAGTTTGGTGAGGGCTGGTGCAGATTTCCACCATAATTGGTATAGACTGTTGAACCTGCTATGGATTTGTCACTCTTACTGCCTGCTAGTGCAGATCATTCCCTCTGTTGCAATGTTTTGAAATCCAGGGCAGTCACTGTCCCAAATTCAATGCCTTGAGATCAGGGATGAATAAGCACTATCAAGTTCAATACACTTATTGGCAATTTTAGGTTGCATCAATGACCAGCTACAAGACATAAACCTCTTCAACAAGGAGCTTAGAACAGAAGCTATTATCATAAAATAAAAAGTCTGTTCCTCAATCTGATTCTGAGCCGATTCGCAGCTAAAAAGGAAGCAGCCAGGAGATACATTTGCATTAACACATGTGAAGTTTTCAATAAAAAGAGCTGTTTGCCTCTCTTGGTTTTTATTGCAGCCTATGAGTTATGACTCAATTTTATTTCATAATTACGAAGAGGTATCTTTATTCTTTTCTGTGGCCTTCCAAATGTCTATCGCTAGTTATTATTTAACCAGCCAAATGTGGAATAGCATAACATAATAGAAATAACTGTTTGCTCACTTTCTTAAATCGAAAAATAGCCTACACACTTACACAGATTTCAACAAAATTGCACACTTGCACAATTACAAAATATACGTACCTTTACTTTGGAAAACGTTCCAATCCTTCTTCAACTCAAACTGCTGTCAAGGTATTGGTGGAAAATATAGAAAATATGCACCAGAACTCAGAAGTTGGGACGCCTTGAGTTGGAGCCGCAATGGAGCCGCAGGGCAACCCAATCGCACGCGGCCCACCTACACGCTCCACCCAACCCACAAGAAAATGAGAAGATCACAAGGCATGCCATACATTCACAACTGAGTACTCATATACTTGCTCTGTAATTCCGGGTTTCCGAAAACGCATCCTACACTGTAAAAAATGCTAACAAACCAGTTAGTTAATTCTTCAAGCAAAATCTAGTATTAAAACACACGTTGTTGCAAAAAACGGGTCAGATAACACATATGTTTGCAACCTAACACCACATCCATTTCATCGAAGCAGAAAAGCTAACATCATTGTAAGCCGACAAATATTATCCGTGCAAACCATGCCGTGTTATTTGACACACATGTTTGTTTATGCTTCCTTTGTCTTTTTTCTGGGATAACGTGTTAGCCAACAAATCAAACGCATGTTGTAATTCACAATCTTAGTTTTCTTACTACCCTTTTTGTTGTAGCATTACAAAGACCTTAGTTAATTGAAAAAATCGCCATTTTGTGCGCCCCTCTGCGCCCGCCATGTTCAGTCTGTGCCAAGTCAGAGAAGGGAGAGGACGTGTGCGTTGTGGTGTGGTATATAAAGGAGCTGCTGTGGCGTATAAGTGTTGCGTGGCATAAGGAGCTGGTGTGGTGTTAAATGAAGTCAGACAGTGAAATGATATGGATTATTGGACATGGATTTCATCCTTATTCGTATGGTGAGTGATTATGGTGAAGATGAGTGCAGGCATTGCTGGCGTTTCAGTTTCTCAGGGTGGAGGCACTGTTCATTGGTTGATTGTCAATTGATTTCTATAAGTATTTATGACCGACTGAAGAATGAACATATTGCAGGTTAAAGGAAGGGTGCCACCTTCCGAAATTTTTGTTCTATGAATCTATTTTACTTATTTGAATTTTTAGACGTGGTTAGCGCGTCCACAATATACACAAAACCGAAACATTGCATTTAATACATTGGCCAAAAAAAAAAGATCGTTGTTTATATCACCACTACAACTCAAGGTCGTTTGATGTGGCAGCTAGGACGGCTGGCATATCCTGTTGTCATGGCAACATATCATTCTGCCATTTGCATTGATGGCGCAACTGAGACAAAAAGATGAACAAATAAAAAGGAAGAAGATAACATGATTTGAACTAAGTTGTAGGTAACCAAGTAGGTAACTGTTGGCCATATTTGCCAACAGTTAAAGAACATCAAATAAGTCGAGTAAAGGTTTTTCCTTTACAATGCTTAAGAGATCTATGGAACCCTTCACCCTTCATGCAACTTACTAGAAAAACTTCCCAATTAAAATTTTAAAACTTAAGTGTATACCATAAAGAAAAAATATACCCTTTCAAAATGATAAAACATGCTTCAAAAGTATAACTTTTATACATACCTTTGCTGATTTCATGTTTTATAAAATACCCTTAACACGACGAGGAAATAGTGCTGAAGATTTTTGCCTGCCCGAATGCTGGCAGCAAAACTCGCAAATGATAACTTCACGTGCGGATTCAATGCTGACCGTCTCGAGCATAGGTAAGTGAAGCCGGTTTTTAGGTTCATGTGAGGCTAATCTTGTAAAAACTGCGTTGTGTCCAAAAGGTGGCACTCTTCCTTTAACCCGCGCCCGGCTGGGGGTCCTGGATTTCCACGCCCTGCTGGGGGGGGGGGGGGGTGTTTGAACACCCCCCCCCTTGTAACTCGGCTCCTGGGCCACGTAGCGATACGCGGAAGGCGGCGTTCGAAAGAGCGTCAAAAATAATGATGAAATCACTTCGGTCAATTTTTTGGTCAGGTCAAAGGTCAGGTCACCAGAGGTCATTGAAGGCAAAATTTCGCCGATTTCCAGGTCGAATGTCGAAAATTTCCAAGAAGCCAACGCATAACTCGGGAACCAATAGAGCTACAGCGCCGCGGAAAAGCGCATTCGATAGCCCTATTAACGCCCTTTCTGAGTAATTCTCTCAGATTTGATCTACCGTCAACGGTTTTGCCTGCAGGGGGCAAAAACTGCAAAAATAGCCGATTTTTTCGGAAACCGTTTTTCTGCAATAACTTTTGACCCAAGCCTTGTACGAGCTTACTTTTACCAGCATCGTGTTCCTCTCGTCAAGACGCATCGAATGAACTATAACTTGACCTTGAAAAGTCAACTTGAAAATTTGACCTCAGGTCAAGGTCATGACCTGACCGGAAAGGGTCATGTTGCATATCAGTCGATCCGTATCGTCTAGCTGAACACATCTAAGGCGTTTTCATCGCTCTAGCATGCCTCTATCAAAAGTTATTTGCGAAAAACTGTTAGATACCATTCGTGACCTAAGATGACCTCAGGGCATAAACAAGGGTCACGGACACCATTTTTATGTTCAGTGTGTCTACACCACTTGTAATTCGGTGTTTGGGAGTGTTTATAATGTCTTTCGTCCAAAAGAGGCGCATTTCAATTTTCTCCCATTGACTTATAATGGGGAGGTCGCAAAATTGACCTGACCTTAGGTCATCGATATAAAAATTCTGAGATATACATTTTGTACATGCTATTGCTCTTAGCAATCGCTGAAAGTTTCAAAGCGATCGGTCACTCGGTGTAGCTATGACAGACATTGAAACTTTTTATGAGGTGAGGTCACTTCAAGTGACCTGGTGACCTGACCTTGAATGACCTTGGTCTGAAATTTTCACAACATGTGTAGAATCGATGTATGATGAGGTGTACCAAAAACGGCGGCGCTCCGCGCCGCCGTTTTTGAGATATTCGCGAAAAACCACAAGGGGGGGGGGGGTGTTCAAACACCCCCCCCCCCCAGCAGGGCGCGGGTTAACCCGCGCACCGACGGGGGGGGGGCGGATATCCGCCCCCCCTGAGGTTTTTCGCGAATAGCGGGAAAACCGCGGCGCTACGCGCCGCGAAATTTGGTATGACTATTCCCTTATCAATTTTACACATGGTGTGCAAGTTTGAACCTCCTACCTTTCAAGGTCAGGTCACCAGGTCACTTTGAATGACCCAACCTCAAGTCACTTTTTTGCAACTTTGTCACCGTGCCAGAGCTACAGTAGATGTCGGAGGCCTTTGAAAGTCGCAGGATGTTATTAGGTCATTAGTAGCTACAATTTGTATATCTCGGAATTTTGATATCGGTGACCTAAGGTCAGGTCAATTTCGCGACCTCCCCATTATAAGTCAATGGGGGAAAAATCAACTCCCTGTGTTTACCACTAAAACGGGTCGGAATGGCCCCATATACCATACATGACTTCATATACGATGAACCTTCACTACCTTGAGGTCTGTTTTGCTGTTGGGCAGCTGTGAGGTCATGTGACGTCATCAAAGGTCACCAAAGGTTTTTGGCCAATAACTCCGTACAGGAACAAGATACAGACGCGTGGATGGTCTCATTGTGTTCAGCTCGTCAAGACACATCGAATGATATACATGATGACCTCGGGGTCACGTGACCTGAGGTCAACCTTTGACCTTGACCTTTCGAGGTCAACATATATATCATTCGATGCGGATTGACGAGAGGATCACGATGATGCCCTTAGTTTGTTCCTATCTTGACTAATTCGAAAGTTATTCGAGAAAAACTCTCTCCATATTTAGCACCGCCATTTTGACTTTTTCGACCCCTGTGACGTCATCTTTGACCTGACCTGAAAATGACCTTAGTAAAAATTGTAGATCTTGACCGTGCGTATCCGATGCCGTTTACCGCTTGTCGCTATCTTGCTTCGTTCTCGAGATCTCAGGGGGGGCGGTCATCCGCCCCCCCGTCGGTACTAAGTTGGCGCAGACCCCCGTCGGTGCGCGGGTTAAGACTGCATTTAACTTTAAACAATAAATTAAATGTACCTAATAGTTCATTGGGCACTCAGGCAGTGCACGCGGTGCGGTGCTGATTTATGTGATGTCCACTGCATCAGTGCATCACATCACAGACTGGTTTATGTCCACTGCATCTATATGTTGTCAAAGAAAATTGTGTAGGTATATGAGCCACGATTGTTCGGTCAGAGAATTTTTGCCTTTTTGTTGCAGTTTCATTTACCTCTACGACAGAAATAAAGCTTTTTAAATGTTCTAATACGTATTTGGAGACTGTTTGGTGCAATGGCTGGTGCGGATTTACAGGCGGGGGTGGTCGTAGAATCAGACCCTGACCCTTGATCGTTTATATATAGCTTAGAACGTAACTTTAGAACGGAGCGCCTTTGCCGCTCGGCAGTTTCCTACAGAAGATTACTTTTTTAGGTTCATTTTTAGTACAATAGAGAAATATTACTGTATGCAGTTGTAAGCTTGCTGAAAGGAGCTTGAATGCAGTTTTGAATAAACATGTTTGATGAGTTTAATTCGATTCGTTTTTTTTGGGGGGGGGGGCGGCTGTGAAAAGAGGTGACTAACACGCACATTAGTTAACCCGCGCCCTGCTGGGGGGGTGTTTGAACACCCCCCCCTTGCGGTTTTTCGCGAATATCTCAAAAACGGCGGCGCGGAGCGCCGCCGTTTTTGGTACACCTTATCATACATCAATTCTACACATGTTGTGAAAATTTCAGACCAAGGTCATTCAAGGTCAGGTCACCAGGTCACTTGAAGTGACCTCACCTCATAAAAAGTTTCAATGTCTGTCATAGCTGCACCGAGTGACCGATCGCTTTACAACTTTCAGCGATTGCTAAGAGCAATAGCATGTACAAAATGTATATCTCAGAATTTTGATATCGATGACCTAAGGTCAGGTCAATTTTGCGACCTCCCCATTATAAGTCAATGGGAGAAAATTGAAATGCGTCTCCTTTGGACGAAAGACATTATAAACACTCCCAAACACTGAATTACAAGTGGTTTAGACACACTGAACATGAAAATGGTGTCCGTGACCCCTGTTTATGCCCTGAGGTCATCTTAGGTCACGAATGGTATCTAACAGTTTTTCGCAAATAACTTTTGATAGAGGCATGCTAGAGCGATGAAAACGCCTTAGATGTGTTCAGCTCGACGATACGGATCGACTGATATGCAACATGACCCTTTCCGGTCAGGTCATGACCTTGACCTGAGGTCAAATTTTCAAGTTGACCTTTCAAGGTCAAGTTATAGTTCATTCGATGCGTCTTGACGAGAGGAACACGATGCCGGTAAAAGTAAGCTCGTACAAGGCTTGGGTCAAAAGTTATTGCAGAAAAACTGTTTCCGAAAAAATCGGCTATTTTTGCACTTTTTGCCCCCTGCAGGCAAAACCGTTGACGTTAGGTCAAATCTGAGAGAATTACCCAGAAAGGGCGTTAATTGGGCTATCGAATGCGCTTTTCCGCGGCGCTGTAGCTCTACTGGTTCCCGAGTTATGCGTTGGCTTCTTGGAAATTGTCGACATTCGACCTGGAAATCGGCGAAATTTTGCCTTCAATGACCTCTGGTGACCTGACCTTTGACCTGACCAAAAAATTGACCGAAGTGATTTCCTCATTATTTTTGACGCTCTTTCGAACGCCGCCTTCCGCTTATCGCTACGTGGCCCAGGAGCCGAGTTAGAAGGGGGGGTGTTCAAACACCCCCCCCCCCAGCAGGGCGTGGAAATCCAGGACCCCCAGCCGGGCGCGGGTTAAGTTACACGCCTGTTCTCAAAAATGCATTTAGTTTATTAACACGCACAGCTTAGTTAGCTAACACGCAATATGTGTGTTTTGCGTACACGCATATAGCTAGTGAAAAGTGGCCGTGTGACAAACACATGTGTTACCTAACACGTCTGTAGTTATTAACAAAACACACCGATGATAGTCAATAAACACGCTTACACGGCTTATCTTAGTAACCTGGCAAATATTCGAAAACTAGGAGGTGTGTTTCAAAACACGCTATTCAACCTTTTGCGTGTAATTGAAAACACACATAGTCATGAAATGCGTGTTTTGCTTACACGCCTATGGTTAGTGAAAAGTGGCCGGATAACTAACTAGTTGGTAAACTTTTTTTACAGTGTATTTGACCAATGAACTACCGAGTTATGCAATTATGAACGCTAGTTGCTAGGTAATATAAAATAATAGCACTTGCACATGATAATATAAACACAAGAGTAAACATCTTATGCGTCACCACTGTCAACAAAATTCTGCCACGCAAAAATGCTTTATTTTGAGGTATGAGTTTATCAGTATATTTTATTTTCACATAAAATCTATTTAATTCATACAAAATATTAATAAACATAATAGCCAATTTGCAATGATCATATTCAAGCTTAAATATACCCAAAAAATACAATATAACTTATTTTGACGTCACTTTATAAAGATACTTTGAATCCGTCGTTTTTGTAGTTTCGAACTTGCGGGAAAATTGTCATTGCTGCAAATTACAAAATGATGAAATTACTGTTTTGAAGGTAAAGGGGCTGATGGTGGGCTCTGTTTTACGATATTTATGTATTTGTTATTGGTTTAAAATCTTCCCTCATAAATTATTGCTGGAGGCTTTTTATAACTGTATTTCATTGATTTGGACATTTCCCGCCAAATTTGGACGAGTTCAAGTTTGAGCTTCAAAGGATGCAGATCAAGATTAGGTAGTTATATGCATCGTTGGCAAATATTTGTAAATTAAAGGTAATTCATGAATGTGCTTAATATCTGATATTTGAAGCAGATAAAGATGGAGTTTTCGAGGCCTGGAGTTTTCACTAGATTCACATTTTTTATTTGAACGTGATTTGTCATTTAAATTTGATAATCTAACCTTGCGTACGATGTCTTGGACGACGAAGATTCTACGTCGTCCGGCCAATCCTGTTCAAGGTCAGCGGGGGCTTGGCTGCGGTTATGGAACGTGATTGGCCAGACGACGTATAATCTTTGTCGTCCAAGAGACATCAAACGCGGGGTAAATCAGCTCTTATGAAGCATTTGTATGTAAATTGTAGCAAAACATTCACCAGCTGAGCTGAACCTGTGGGTGCTGGCGTGCTGCTAACCTGAACCCTCTGAGTGCCAATTGCAATTGCTAATCGTTGATCCAGAATACAAAGCATGGCAAAATAGGTATCAGTAAAGCTGGCGTCACCGTCGGCGCTAGCCAGTAAATGTGTCAATTAAATCTTAGTTTTAAACATATTCTAACCTGACCTTACCTTGCCTACAAGGCTACAACCTACAACCTACTAACCTACAACTGGCAACCTACCCGCCTACCTACCTGCCTACCTACCACGGATGGTGATGCCAGCTTTACCGATACTGCAAAATATTGATGCAATGTCAGATGTCTTCTGTGCTGGGCGCAAGGACTCTCCACTGTTGTTTGGTGTTATGGGGATTTACCATGGTATGTTTCAGATTTTATGTGGAGCAGGGTAGTTTTTGACATTATACTGTGCTGAACTGCTGTGGCATAGCATAAAAATGCTGCTCAGGAGACAGCTGGTTTGGCCAGGGAAGAATTGGGTTTATAACATGGTTTTGTCTGGTCAAAAGTGACAAATACAGTGTAAGGAATTATTTTGCAAAAGTTCTAGGTCATGCAGTTTTGCTGCAGGCTGGTGCAAATTTCCAGCATGATTGGTGCAGGCTTGTGCAGATTTGTCACAGCCTAGCTGGTGTGTCTCATCAACCTTGCTGCTATATTTAACAGTCTGGCCATATGTCAGGTCAACTTGAACTCTGGTTAAGCACTGCAGTGGTTCAACATACTAGATAACTACCTACCCACCTACCCATCTACCTGCCACATTAGGCCCCATGCCTGACAACTTCACTTTATTTCTGCTAACACTATCAATGCTTCAACATGGATATTGTCAAAAAGATATGCATACTGAGAGTGCTGACTGATGCTCAGTGCTGCACTACAATCATCCTGAAAACGTTCTTCTTTTTCAGGCTTTTCAACACTAGCCATTACCCAAAAGCATGGCTGCGCTAGATGATGAGGATATTATTGATGGCAGTGATGAGGAGCAAGAGGATATCACACCTGCAGATATTCTACACAAGCTCAAACAGGTTAGTTGCCTTTTAATTTTAATAGGCAACTGATTGCAAAATGATTCAACAAGTAGGTGGAACATTCATTCATCTGAGCTGTTGGATGTGACCCTGTGATACTAGTCTGTCACACATCAATGATACCCATGGTATATACCATGCCTTCATATCGTCATGAAGTCCTCACTGATAGTTTGAGTCTGTGTCTATGCAGTGTATTGGATACCTGACTATGTTTTCTAACTCGGCTGTTACTGCAGTCGTGGATCGACGAGACCCGATGTCCGGAGCTGCTGGAGTACGATGGTGACGTGGTCGACTGCATGCTGGACCAGATCCATCAAATGGAAGCCAATCTGAGGAGGGTCAGCAAGACCGACTTCAAAATATCCATACACAAAATGGAGGTGGGTTACAGCGCAGTGAATGGACAATCGATGATCGATCGAACGATCGCAGTGGCAGCGGAACGGTGGGCTCATCGTTCTAAGGCTCGAGTGGCAGGTAGTAAAAGTTCGGGAAGTAAAAACTCGGGTTTGAGTCGTACTGTCGCCCGATAGTCGATATAAAAGACCGACAGGAGTGAGCCGCTGTAAGTGGGAGCAAAATGCAGCCAGTTGAAGTGGAAGAACTCTGCAACCATGGGTAGTTATAGGCCGTAGCCAGCCATCTTTGCTCGCTCCCCCGTCCTCCGCCGTGAGTTGACGGTGTGTTTTTCGCGCACCGTCTGCAGGTGGACCGTATTCGGTACATGATCGCCAGCTACCTGCGGTGCCGACTGCAGAAGATCGAGCTTTACCACCGCTACCTGCTGTCCAACGAGGAGCAGCGGCGGCGACTGTCGCCCGCCGAACTCAAGTTCGCCACCGAGTCAGTATTTGTGAGGGGTTTATCAGAGGAGGCGGGGTGGACCTCGCGGGCTTTCGAATGACGATAGCTTGCAACGGATTGTTCATAGTGGTTAAAGTTTGCAACGATCACTATTGCTTGCCTTCAAGGACGATACAATTGTAGACATGGCCGTGAAAAGCATAGTCAAAGTATATTGGCAAGTTCGAAACCAAAGTCAAGTCCAAGTTCAGTTCAAGTCAAGTTTCAATTCCCAGCGTAGCCCCCCGCTCCAGACCGAATCCCCCCGTCAATGACAATGACCTTCAGACGACCTTTCGTCCGAGAAGGTTCCAGGAGAAAACCCAATCGGCGGCTGCCCTGGCGTCGCAGCGCCAGCCAATCAGCAGCCGCCATCACTGCCACAGCCGTCGCCGCAGAGCACGGCAAATAGCCCACGGCGCGTGAGCTGTAGCCGCGGGCGCTCGCAGCGGCAGAGTTCCACTTCCGACTCTGACTCAGTCGGTCTCGGAGCGGCAGTCCATTCATTGGCGGCAGTTCATTCATTGCCTACATATAGCCGCCCGAGCAATAGGCGGCGGCACAGGAGAAGGAGCCCTCCTACACTCCTCCCCGCTTACAAAGAGGCGCCAGCCGCATGAGGCGCGCCGGCTCCAGCGCGCGTCCCCTGGGAACCAGAATAAAAATGCGTCACAACGAGTGACGCCAACAACGCGATATATACAAACGACATAAAAGGTCAGCTCGGGTAATCGGGGCACGAGACAGGACACATATCAGCCGGTAAGGGTAAGACTAGACCCACTGCCGTACTTTCCGCCACTTACGCCACGCGCTAGTCGCTCGACGCGTTCAGATCGCGTCCATCTGGGCTCTGCTGGCCAGTCAAAGCATAAGATAAAGCGCGCTAAAGGCAGCTGCGGCTGGGCAGTGTTGCGATCAGGTGTCTTACATTACGGCTACATATCGGTCAGGGGGCCGACGCTCACGCGTAGAGCGTCTCGGAGCCACCGGGGGTACCGCACTGCGAGGCAGCGGTATCGGCCGGAAGGTCACACGGAGACCAACCGACTGCTCTGCACCCTGTGAAACGGCAGCCTCAGCTGGAGGCTCAGCTGCAGAATGCATCGGCACCTCAGATGCGCTCCCTGGGACAGCACAGAAACTCGTCCCCGCGACAGGCGGTGACCCAGCGGTCTCCGCCCGTGTCGCACTCGCCGACTGACCGGCCTGCTCAGCAGAGTCTGAGCGGCCACTTACCGGGTCTGCCGCGCCACTGGCGGCTGGATCTGACTCCGTCGTGTTACCAGAGGGCACGGTACATGGCTTTAACCTATTGTGGTGCACACACAACATTTTCCCGTCCTCCAGTCTGACACGATAGTTAAGATCCCCTCGCTTGGCGACAATTACCACGGGTTTCCAGGGCCTCATGAACTTGTGATATTCGCCACGCTTGGCAACACCACGAAACAACATCGCCCGATCCCCCACACTGTAATGAAACTCATTCATTTTCCGCTCATACAGACGCTTGTTCTGAGTATGTCTCCTATCTGACACGCTGAGGGCCTCTCGGTACGCGCTACGGAGACCGCTACACAGCTCGTCTACATACTCCGCGGCGGACCGAGCACGGGCCGTGGTAGGGGAGTCAATCTCAGCGTCAATGGGCAGGTTCGGCTCCCGACCGAACATCAAGAAGAAGGGGCTGTACCCCAACGACCTGTGAATCTGGGCACGGTAACCGAGCATCAGCAGCGGCAGGTGACGGTCCCACTCGCTGTGATTATCCGTCAGGTACTTCGCCAGCATCCCTAAGATGGTCCGATTGACCCGCTCGCAGCGGCTGTTTCCCTGTGGATGGAAAGCAGTGGTGCTCGTTTTCTGTATGCCCATGATTCGGCACAGCTCCGACATCACCTGGCTTCTGAAATTAGCGGCACAGTCAGAGTGAAGGCGCTTGGGACACCCAAAGCGGGAAAACACTTGTGACGCCAGAGTCTCCGCGACCGTCACAGCCAGCATGTCAGGAAGCGGGAACACTTCCACCCAGCGGGTGAAGTGATCACAGACCACCAGCAGGTGTCTGTTGCCGCGCTCTGTAGTGGGAAGATCGGTCAAAAAGTCAATGGATACCACCTCCCAGGGCTCAGTTGCGTACAACTCGCCCATAGACGCTCGGGGTGGCGGGTTGGGGGAGCTGCGGCCGGCACAGCGGTCGCACTGCTGACAGAACTTCTCCACATCTGAGCACATCCCCAGCCAAAAGAATCGTCTCTGAGCCTGTTTGAACAACTTCTCATGACCGAAGTGTCCTCCACACGGGCCTGCATGCAGAGAAGTGAGCACACCTGCCACAAGCTCAGACGGAATTACCACCTGCAGCGCCTCAGGGGCCTGCGGACGGCTGCGGTACACTTTGAAAATGACGCCGTCGAGGAGGCGTAGCCGTGACCAGTGTCTCAGCCACGGCCTCACAGCGCTCGAGACGCTGTGGCGAGAGGGGCACGAGCCGGTCGCAAGTAACCGTGCCAGCTCGGCCAGCACCTCATCCTTACCCTGCTCACTCTGAATGAAACTGAGGGGCCAATTGAACGCAGAAATGTGCTGGCAGCTCTCCGTCTGACAGCCCACATCTTCCACCTTCGGCGGCCGCCTGCTGAGGCCGTCGGCTGCTGAGTTCTGCGCACCAGGACGATACACGATCTGAAATTGGAAATTACCGAGAATCTCCAGCCACCGGGCCAGCATACCCGAGGGATTTCTGAAGTTATAAAGCCACTGAAGACTGCTGTGGTCCGTACGCAGCGTAAACTCTCGGCCCTTCAAGTAATGAGAGAATTCCTGAACAAAAACGACACACGCTAAAAGCTCCTTCTTCGTAGTACTGTAATTTTTCTGAGACTTCGACAACTGATGACTACCGTAGGCTATCACTCGTTCGACACCATCCTGCTCCTGTAAAAGAACAGCGCCGATTCCCAAGTCGCTCGCGTCACAGTCCAGACAGAACTTTCCAGCTCCGTCACCGAACCTGGGAAAGCTGATCACTGGGGCCTCCGTCAGAGCTTTCTTCAAGCTTACAAAGGCCTCCTCAGCTGCCGTCGACCACTCGAACGGGACATCTTTGTTCGTGAGACGAAACAACGGAGCCGCGATAGATGCAAAGTTCTGCACGTACTTCCGAAAATACGAGCACAGTCCGAGGAAACTGGACAGCTCCTTGGCCGTCCGCGGCTGTGGCCAGTCCGTCACCTTGCTCACCTTTTCTGGGTCCGTCGCCATACCATGACCCGAGATCACATGTCCGAGGAACTTCACCTCCTTCCTGAAAAATTGACACTTCGCCAGATTGAGCGTCAGTCCGGCAGCGCGCAGCCGGAAAAGCGCATCGTCCAGAGCTTTCAAAACTTTCGAGAACGACTTACCATGCAAGATGATATCGTCAAAGTAATGAAGACAAGATTCAGATGGCATGTCACCCAGCACAATGTTCAGCAGCCGGCAGCACGTGAAAGGGGCTGAACTCAATCCAAAACACATACGCTTGTACCTATAGTTGCCTAGAGGTGTAGTGATTGTGGCCTTATCCCGGTCAGCTGGGTCAATCGTTACCTGATGGTACGCTGCATTCATATCCAGTACACAATACAAAGAAGATCCAGCCAGCGCGTCCAGAGTATCATCAATGCGCGGGATGGGAAATGCGGGTAACCGGGTGCATGCATTCAGTTTCCGCATATCAGCACAAATGCGAATTTCACCCGATTTTTTCTTAACGAGACAAATTGGTGACGCCCAGCTACCATCCGACTCCTCCAGAACGCCGTCTTTAACCAACTGGTCTAATTGCTCTCGCACCTGCTCTTTCAAGTGAGGAGGAATTCGCCGAGGAGCCTGACGAATGGGAGGATGGTCACCAGTATCAATCTGGTGAGTCACGAGAGAAGTGTGACCCACGTGACCGTCAAACATGGTACTGTGCTTTTTGAGCACCGCAAACAGTTCTTTGCGCTGTGAATCGGTCAGGTCAGTCTCAGAAAGGTCAACACTGGATTCAATGTCCACCGTTTTATTTGGCTCGGACTCGGATTCCGGTGACAGCTCCTCAAAGCTCACCTCCAAATCAGCCACGGGACAGTGTTTGGGAATGGTCACATTTTCTGAGGTCACATTCCTAACCAGGAGCGGAATGGTTGAATCGGTCACAGTCGCGATACATCTTACCACTTCCACACCTGGGAGAGACAGACACGGTTCCACAAGGACAGGGCCGGTATAATCACAATTGTGGGCGTATCCCTTCACGAAACATTCAGCCGCCGGGGGAAGGGAGAAATCACTGCCCACCACAGCTCGTCCCACAGACGTTTTCTCGGCTGAGATCGAGCGCACCTGGTTCTGCTCAGTCAACAACAGACGCCGGCCCGACAGGTCAATCACACAGGGCACCACACGGAGAAAATCAAGACCGAGGAGACATGGGACATCAATTGACTCAGTGACATAGAATGTGACAACGTGACTCTGGTCTGCTATCTTTACCGGCACTTTTACAAGACCAATCAACGGCAACTCCTCCTGTGAGGCTGTCTTTGCTTTTGTCGCTGTTTTCAATAGGGTCACACGAGGAAGAACGTCAAGCAGGGACTTATTTATCACGTTAATAGACGACCCAGTGTCTAACAAAAATTTACACGACACGCCTGCAACGGTCCCTGAAAAGGTCATGTCATCATTCAGCGCCACGCCTGCAGCATCGGGAGCGCACTTGGGCTTCTCCGGCCTCACTGCGGCGGGTTTTGCGGCTGGGGGCACTGGTTGGCGCTGCAACTTACCGTGACCCCGGCGTCGTTTCCCCGGTCACAGACTCGGGAAATGTGCCCGTCTCGGCCGCACGTATAGCACCGTGCGCGCCGATGGGGACACGCCGCACGCAGATGCTGCTCACTGCCGCAGGCAAAACATGCGCGCCGGCCGCGTCCCTGGCGGCCCCCGTCCGGCCGGCCCGCGTCCGA